GCCGTGCAATTGACCGGGGGCGAGGAGCGCAAGTTCCTGCAGGACGGCGATACCCTCATTATCCGCGGCTGGAGCGGCCAGGAGGGCGCGTTGGTTGGATTCGGTGAGGTTTCGGGCAAGATTGAGGCTGCGCTAAAGCTCTTCTGATCGCGAAAATTGTGATCGAGAGATAGAATGAGCATGAAATAATGAAAAGTCCTTCGTTTCGTAAACACTGAATGTGGGATGATTTCGTGAAGTTATAGTTCTCGTCATCTTGCTCTCCTCTAGTATAACACGATCATGAAAATACTTGAGTAAAACTGATTGTATTTGCCCATCTGGCTCATTAACTTGAATCGAGCTATGCTTTTCATCTATTTCGCCCTCAATTCATCAGGAGTATCAGGCTGATTGAAATAATGCGCCTTCACAACAGCCGGATTCTCCTTCAACGCCTCCGCGATCTTCCTCACAGTCGGATACGGGCTCAAATCAACCCCAAACCTCTCGGCATTCCAATACGCAGGCAACAAACACACATCCGCCAACGAAATCTCATCATCAACAGAGCATTTCCCCGCCCACTCCTTCGCAACAGCCTCATACGCAGCAAACCCATCCGCCATCAACTCACGGTTCCACTGTTCCGCATTTCCGCCCATGGCCCTGATCCGCCTCATAATCCGCATGTTCGTCACGGGCTGGATGTCGCAGGCGACGATGTTGACCAAGCTCCGGACCACGGCGCGCGTCTTTGGGTCCTTGGGGAGGAGGGGTGTGGTGGAGGGGTGGGTTTCTTCGAGGTACTCGAGGGCCGCGACGGATTGCGTTACTTTGAAGTCTGCGTCGGACCGGTTGACGAGGAGGGGTACGCTGGCGGAGGGGTTGAGGGCGCGGTGGGTGTCGGAGAGGTGTTCGTCTTTGAGGAGGTTGGTTGGGATTGTGGTGTAGGGGATGGATTTGAGGTTGAGGGCGATGCGGAGGCGGGCCGAGCAAGAGGAGCGGAAGTAGGAGTAAAGGATGTAGTCTGGATCGGACATCTTGAGGTTTCAATATTGATTAACACGTTAGGTACTGAGTCTTGGTATTCTGAGGTTCACGAGGAAGCTTCAAGGCGAAAGGGGGCCAGTCCAACAATCAGGTCTGGACTCGGGCTTGGTCTTATTTCACTGATCCCATGGCTGCTACACTACATCACACACGTGTAAGCATGGCAATTCCGCTTGCTTGCGAGAACTGCTTGACATGCGAAAGGCGTAGGAGAACCGCTCCTAGCCTTCCAATGCCGATGAGGATGTGCTCGGACGGGGAGGCGAGCTGCAGCCACCTGGGAGCTTCCTGCGGGGAAGAAGGATCCCAGCGGCAAGCCGACTGCGGGGAACGGGTATTGGCATCGTATGAGAAAGCTATGGAATTGAGGTCAATGATTGGCTCGTCGCTCTCATTCGGGGTTCTGCACCTCAGGTCGATTGACGAGGGCGGAATTGCGGAATGGGGGCGGCTGGTTAGGACAAAGCGAAGAAGGTTCCGCGGATTGTTCCACGTTGTATTCATTTGGCGGACTTAGAGGGACTTCATTTTAGGAAGAAGGCATAATTAGTTCGACAGGTTGGGACTTCAGAAGTTTTACAGGAATGGAACGCATGAGGCGCTATGCGTGGTGTAGACATAAACTAACAGAGGTGGTTAGTCATGGGACAGAAAACAAAGCAGACCCAAAAGCCACCGATGCGCCTCATTCTTCATGCCGGTTTAATTTAAATTAATAACAGACGACTGACATATAATAATTGATGAAATAAAAAAAAAAAACTTAGTTCTATGCATGTCTTGGGCTCGTCGATACTTGTTCCAAGATTTCCCCCGCTCCGACGGCCCCTCAAGCTCTTGAGCGAAGGAACATCACCTCCTCGTTCAACCCCACAATCTGGCTCCCAGTGTCCTCAATGATGAGCAATGTCGCAAGATTGGCACAAATCGCCGCGACAGCGCCGAGTGGGATACTGGACTGAGGATAATACGGGTAGACCGGCGCGCTAGCCAACAGAGTGACAAAAGCTAGGCTGACCAGGCAGTTGAAAGTGATGGGCCATTTAGTCTCTATGCCCTTGGGAGGTTCCTCTCCTTCTTCCTTGAACCATCCAATGGCAGCAAACCATTGCATGACCTGGGGCTTCACAATGGCATAAAGCCCGCCGAATCCCAAGAGTTGTTGGCTCAGTGTCGAGTAGAAGTTGCTGTCGTACATGGGGACGCCGTCTGGGGCTTCGCAAAGAAAGGTCGAAAGAACAGTGAAGGGGAGAGAAACTACCACAAGCCAGGTTACGAGAGAAAGGCAAATGGTCCGCCAGAGCTTGGGTTCCTTCGGGGGCGATCGGTTCCGTGCCATCGATTTGCCTCTCCTTCCTATCTGAGGGGGTTTCTTTTGCAGCTTCTTCGGACTGGAGCCTTTGGACTGTCTTGTTCGTTCCCTTATCTTGTTCTCATCGGTTGCATTGACCTCATCTGTGGAAGACGTTGGGAGAGTCTTAAAGATGCCCGGTTCGGGTATAAGTGAGCGCTTTGCTATAGATTTGGTCAGCCCGAGGTATTTTTGGGATAACACAAGCTGACAAGGATGGCTTTCCACCATTGAAATTCGTACTGGCCTTCTTCTTCTTTTTCCAGATTGCTGATGACGTTCAGACACTGCTGGATATTGCCGTCAAAGAAGTCAAATGTCGCTGCCACACTCTGGCGCAGGTTTATCATGGCTTCAAGGTTCACTTCGCTTTGGAGGCTGTCTATCAATCTTTGGAGTACTGTCCAGCTCTCTCGTGGCTTTCGAATAGCCGAGTCGAACGCTGCAACCCTCTCACGTAATTGAGAGAGCGTACCGCCTTTCCAAGCGATGAACACCTTCTCCCATTCCCATCTGTACGGATAGTCCAGCAGGGTTTGCTGTTGTAATAGGAATAGTGCGTGATTTCCATTCGAATACCGACCATACAATTCGAAACTTGGGAACCGCTCATCAACGTCCTTTATCATCGTAAGCTCCTTAAGCAGAACGTAAAGTCGAATTACAAGCTCGGGCTTATGTGCTGCCAGAACAAGAAAAGCGGTATCCAATTCAGATACAAGCCAGTGCGGGTTCCAATCATTCAAGAGCTTCAAGGAAGAGAGGGGATCAATCTCGTTCTCTAGCTGGTAGTATTGCTGAGTAGCTGCTTTTGCATTGCGCCGTAGAGCCTCTGCGGATGTTTTGAAGGTTTCAAGATGGTCTAAATCATCGTAGAGAAAGGGAAAAGATTTCCGGTTCGCCTTAAGTTTGCTTCCATGGGCGGTGGTAATAAAGCCCGAGTTGTCGTTATCCCAACCCAGCAAGGTGGGAAGGGGATTGGCTATCGTCTTGGTCATTTGACCAACTCTGGATGCGGTATACCGTTGCTCAGGGTCAATAGAATCTCCACCGGAGTAATATCTTGGGGAATTTATGTGCCCCTCTAGTTATCAAGGCGAACCACAAGGCAACCCAAGAGTTGTCCGATGGTGTGCCCAGCCGGGAACCTGCATGCAGCTAGTGAACATGGCTGGATAAGCCGAGAACCCCCGTCCAGTAGCATCTCAATGTCGCTGCTAGCGCCGGATTTCACCCAGGGTCTTCAGGCACTCTGGTATCTGTTGGCGCAAGATGATTCGCAACTATCACAGGTCGCTGCTAGCCACCGGCGCCAGACGCCTTGCACTATTTGACGTCAGAAGGCGAGGCATATTAGAAATATGCCTTGCTTCCCCGGGATCTCTTGGGTTGATTGTCAATCAACCAAGGAAATGTGCCTCAGCGGCCAATGACAATAGAGTGAGAGATAAAAAGCGCCTAGACGCTGCATGACCAGGAAGAAGCCAGACAGCAAGGATTCGTTGTTACTGGGCTAGAGCAAAGCTCGCGACAATCTGTTTCGTTGAGCACCGGAGGTAAGGTTACATTTCCGCAAGAACGCCGGGCAAAGGCCACAAGTGGTTGACAATGTAGGATGCTAGTCTACAAAATTATGTTTGCTATTGTCTTTTACGTATTCATTGAAGAGTACTTTTCAGAAGACGAATGGGAACAGGGATAATACGATCATGAATAATAGGAAAAGAGCTAGGGAGGGCACTAATAGAGCGGCAGACCATTTTGTTACCCGCTTAGACCAGTCCAATGTCTATAAGTAAGTTACTAATTAGTACGAAAAGTATTTCAATATGAGCAGAGTAGTCGATAGAATGATAATCGTTAGAAGACTGCATTTAGCGGACTAGAATATCATGATATGTCTCTTTTGGCAGCCGTCGTATGCAACCTTTAACTTAACGATCTGATAACCATGCGTGCATTGTTACGTGCCGGGGACATATGATCCCGACCAAATATCCAGACATTATTGATGAAACGCATAGGCAAGACAAAGACTACCGTTCTGGCCCTAAGCTCAAGTATAATTCTGGGTGTATTCTCTACTGCTATTTCATCAATTCCCCCTCCCACGCTTTCATATCGGCTAGGAAAACCGAATCCCGGGATGTTAGAATGCGCACAGGAGGAATGAATCGTGCGCGAAAAGCGGGCTACTCCGGGTCCCGGCATCATTGCACTCAATCCGAGAAACGCGCTAACGATATGCATATATTAATCTTTGTCTCTCAACCCCACCCAAGCTCGTATATCGGACGGAATAATTACAATGTCACTCTCAAAAGGACGTTTGGAAACACCACCCTGCGGAGCCTTATGTTCCAGATGCCAGGAGGTTGCTAGGCGAATTATTCCAGACACAGTTCCGAATAGAGCTTTTTCCTCTGAATCTGTTCGTCCCAATGTCATGTACTAGCGCCCGATCTCAGGGGTTCTTCGTCTTTCAGGGGTACCAAATTTGTTCATATAGGATTGTTGGACTCTATCCTTTTGCCTTTCTTCCTCTGGTACAATGCGCAGAGACGAAACAAAAATCTACGTTCGAACCTTACCACTCTTCTGAGCTCAACTAGCGATCATGAAGGGACCCAGCAAAGCTATTGGGGGCGTCCTCGCAACACTTATTGGTCTGACCCAGGCGAACTCTGACATCGTTTCACTCTTCACCAATGGCGCGGCCTACATCCAAGAGGCCAGTGCGACTCTTGTTCTACCCAAGCTTCCCAGCTCGGTCTCAGGAGACGTCGCGATATGGAGCGCCATCATGATGGAGAACCAAGCCTCGTTCCTGCAAGGCGTGACTTCCAACTCTCCTAGTGGGTAAGAAGAAAGATGATGTGTCTGCTGGTTGCGTCAGGATATCTGACTGACCGCGTTTCAAAGGTCGTACTGTAACGATGGAGGAAAGAGTTGGTGTAACTTTGCGTACACTCTGGTTGGTAAGTGGAGTGGCTGTGCTATGTTCTAGTTGAACCGCCGATGACCCCGTCTGACATGATGCTTCAACAGGCTCAAATCCTACTGTTGGTGACCCTGTCACTGCTTCTCCTGGATCCACGATTAGAACGCACTGTAAGTCACCTCAGCGGGTAGCTAGGAAATATGGTGACTAAAGCCAGCGACAGACAAGTTGAACTCGGCAACGAACCTCTGGGACCAAGATGTCTACATCGACAACAAACTCGCTTCCTCAGTCTCAACCAGTAAGCGAATTGTCATTTCCTCGCTACCCTTTTTCATATCAGAACTGACAAAGTCTTTGAAGGTAAAGGGCAGAAGGGAAACATCTTTTACATCTCTATTGAGTGCGCATCCGGCGGCTGCGCTGAAAACCCCGCCCACAGTGAGTTGACCGAGTATTTCGCAATAAAACTAGCAACTAATATTGGAAAAGGCTGGGAGGATGTCTCCATTGTGCTCAGTCAGGCCGACGAAAGCTTCGGACATAGTGGAGGCTGGGAACATGGTGCTACCGGGGGCGAAATGTCATCTCCTGACAATGGCAAGACTTGGAACTTCAGCACTCTCAATATTCCGGCACAGAAGGCTCAGTAACGGTCCGCCTTTTTGGCTATGGCTCGTGATGATTTTTTCTCTTTTCTTTGCACATTTTTCCCACCCAAAGAAGCTGTAGATACATTCGAATTTACTTCACATGACTTCCAGACGTCATTTTTCCGTGAAACAACCGCCTCAATATGAGATGCTATATGTAGAAAGGTATATTATGAGAATCAAACTCTTTAGGTCACTGAGATTACAGTTTCTTTTCTCATACATGATCATCCAAAAGCGCCAGCACTAAAAGTCCAGTCTTTCGAATCACCCCGCAAAGTTCTCACTACTTCAGGACTGTGATCCGGATCGGTGCTTGTCCACCATTGACAGATCCCAGCACGTAGCCAAACATCTAAAGTCTCTGAGATCCCGGACTGGCCACTGAAAGGGACAAGCAAGAGGCCTACAGGCATGCTCGAGTGTTTGGGAGATATTTTGATCTCTGTGACGCCCAAAAGTAAGAGAACTGCGTCTGGGTGCTGTTGACTGAAAGCAATCGCTTCTTCGCGCGCAAGATCAGGTCCATGAATAGCGGTCCATTGTTCTGGACCATCCAGGTCAATATTTCCGCCGGTCCACCCCGCTTTAGTGTTCCAAATTTCGACCAGCTTGCTAAACTTGCAGATCTTGCCGCTGAAGTGGCCCCAGTTGACGCCTTTGAGAGTGACGGTCGAGAGCTTTGCCTTTACCGACATGGCATCGAACACTGACTTGCCGTCGCCGTAATTAAGACGCCTTGTAGGTTGAGAGTCTTGAGAGATTCTCCATCTCTTCCCAGGCTGGGGAGGAATCTCAAAGATATGCATCTGGCTCATAATAGGTTCCCGGATGAGCAGCTCTCGACCGAGCTCATCCTCCAGTTCTGCGAGTGAGAATTCGACGCGCGAGTCACAGCCCGGTCTCGATTTTCCCAACTGAAACCCAAATATCTGCATGATCCCATACACACGATCCGTGGCGCGAGTCGTGGTTCTATGGCGAGCAGCCCCAAGTAAGGTGACTGGGAGACTTGATCGGAGGCCGATCATACCGCTGCGCTCGACTGAGCGCTTCAATGCTAGCAGGTACTTGTCGTCCGTCTCGATGGTCTGCGGCTTCTTCTCGTGTGAGGTCACTATGGTCATCATGTGGTCGCAGTAGTCGATGAAGTCGCTCAGCAACATGGGACTTTCGGCAGGGTTGTCAATCTCAGACGAGTTCATGAGTTCCCCCTGTCTGGAAATAAACACCGACTGAGGACAAAGATATGCTTCTTGCAACGTCCAGAGGGACGAGAACCATGGGTCCAGGCCCAGCAGTTCGATCTCTTGCCTAGTGCCGTCTAAACCGCGTTGAACTCGCTCAATGCCATTCTTTGCTTCAGCTCGTGATAATTTGGCCTGCTGTTGAAGCGTTTCAGTCTGTGACAAGTATCCCTGACGGGAAAGCTTTGTCAACCATGCAAACGTATGTGTGGCTCCCTTGAATATTTTTGCTTGACGGCCAACCTCCAAGGCCATTTCTGCCGATCCCCGCGTCTGGTCAATGCAGGCTACGTCCAGCCAAACGTAGTGGATTTGAGGGACCGGTTCGCCAGGATTATCGAAGCCTACTTGTCGTCAGCGACGCGTTCACACGGAGCTAAGGTGTATTTTGACTTGCCTCTGGCCTCCGCTGAAAGCTTCAAAGCTGATCTCAACAGATTCTCCATTTCCCTCATTGTGAAATGATCTGGGTCCACACGTGGCATTTCCCAGGTAACGCCCTTGACCGGGAGTCCTTTCACGTCTGGATGTTGTGTCGCACTTTTCAATCGCCATCTGCCCCAGGTGTACGAGATAGCGATGTATCTGGGCGCGCGATCCTTTCCGTAATAGTCGCCAGGCGCCCACTGCATCGATGTCATAGATGGTACATGCAGTAGCCTGCGCGGCCAAGCGCAGTCATCGTCGAAAACCGGCATTGCGTACGGTGCACGGAGTTGAGGTTGATGCTTCGATGATTTCAACGCCGTAGCCGTCTTTGGATCATTTCAGCTTTAATACCCCTCTTTGTGATGCCTATTGATGGTCATGAATGGGCGCGTGGTGGTCCGCAATACCCTTGATAGTGGCGGACGCTTGTCATCCCGACTATGAGCTTTGATTGGTAGGATTCTCTCAGCTGAGATGCAGCCAAAGGTTGTAGGTACAACATACTTTCGATACGATAACATGATTAGCTTTGTGAGAAATATTGTGGTCATCGACCTCTTCTCCTCCTCCTCTGTGTATCTCATTACGAAGGAGACATTGATATTGTCAAGTCAAGGCCAAGTCGTTAATGCCTCCTTTAGAAGGCAGTGCAACACAGTGGGAGAAAAATACTTGAGCCATTTGAAGTCAACGAACTAGACAGATTGTGAATAGTGAAGTGTCGAGTCGCAAAGCTCCTCTTGGAATAAAATTAATTGCAGCTCAAGTCACGTTCATCTCAGTCATAATGGTTCTTGACTTCCAAACCTTTGTACTGAAACGATGTTCCTTCGCGCTTATCAAGCACCTTCTTGTGATGCACATCCTTCACTCTTGCCCGCACGTACTCTGTTCCTGATGGAACTGGTCTGCTCAAGTCTCGATCTTCCTCTCTAATCAGGCCAAGACGATCCAAAAGGGGTGATGGCAACGTTCTCATCGGCGTGTGATCCCCAGGTCGACTAAAGTACAAAAGTCCCAGTCGAGGAATATTGATCTGATCTTTGGGAGGCTTGACTACCCGATGGATTGTTGACTTGATGAATCCTTCTCATGGTTAGAATTACTTTCGACACTGATGGATGAAGAACAGCACTTACCGTTTGTGAGGAAAGTCAAAGTGTCTGCCGCATTACACGTAATACCACCCTCTACGGGCTTCACGTACTTCCAGTCTCCCTCTGGCGTCCTGATTTGCAAACCTGCAACATGTTGGGAAAAGAGGAGAGTCAAGCTGCCGAAATCTGTATGCCCGCCCGTCGAGAAGGCCTGCGCTTTATCCCACTGCTCTTCAGTTCGCACGTTGTAGATCATGTACCGCAGATGGTCATCCGATACTTGGTCATAGGCATGCGCATCGGCGAGATAATTCTCTGGGAGCTCCAAGATGATAGCGATGAGAACGAAGAGCTTTCGTGCGACTTCCCAGACGTCGCGGTGGAAGTCTCGAATCTCATCCCAGTTTTCTTCAACAACCCGATGACGACCGACGTTCTTCCAAGCCGGGATGTCCTTGTGGATGTTGAGCTAAGTCTTCATTAGACACTAAGGTTCCAATTTTTGGATGAGCAACAGCACCAGCGACTTACCATCTCAATGTTCTCCTTCACACCCGTATCACCAAGCCATCTCTCGTTCTCCCTGTATCCAAAATACTCGCCTTCCGCAAAGTTGCATGGATAAGTCCGCTTCTCTTCGAGAGGCTCTTTGAAGAATGTGTTTCCAATGCTGAACTGGCGCAGGACACGCTCATCATCGATGCCGGTACCAGTCACAACCCAGAACCCAACTCGCGAAATGGCATCGTAGAGCTGCTTCGCTAGTTCTTGCTTTTCACCTGGCTCATCAAATCGTGAAAGATCAATGATGGTGAGAGGTGCCCAGTCTAGATCCTCTTTGGTTGGTTGTGGTCGGGACCAGGGCTTGACAAGCAGCTTGTCGGTATTGGAGGGTGGTGGTGATACTGCAGAGGGAGCCATGGTGTGTAATACCGATTTCAACGAACAAGAAATAATGCGAAATGGATAACCAAAATGTTGCTCTTTAGACTCAATTCAATCTTCTATCAGCGCCTTATAGAAGTTCATCGCAGAAATTCATGCTTGATGGCTTACTGACGTCCACGCGGGGTCGACACACGATCGGCCATGGCGTGCTTGGGAACCCCAACAACGTGCTCGTCACCATCAGCCAACGATATTATCAGACACTACCGGCTACTACCCCAGATTATAATCCTCCAGGCACGTTCGATCAAGACGTGCTCGTATGATAAAGAAAAGACGGGGAAATATTACCCGGAAGTCGGGCATAGTCCGAGAAGTGTTGTTGCCGCACTTATCATCCAGCATCAATGAAGAATGACAGGCCTTTGGGATTCAATTAGGATTGGATGAAAACTCATATCGCCATCCTCGTTATCATGTCGTGATGAATGCAAAGTTAAGAATACAAGGGGAGATATCCGGCATCGGTCATTGCCCGTCGCTTTTAGAACTGCGATCTGAACTTGAGCGAAAAAGTACTTCAACTGGTTGGCTGGAGATATGTGAGCTTCGTTTTGACTTGTGTTGATTGAATCCTTGGTTCTTTTCGGTGCCTCGCGACGACGTCTAAGATGGCGACCTCAAGAGAGCCGATCACCACATTGGTCTACGTCGTCGACCACATACCGACCTTTCCCGAAAAGATGGCAAAGACAGAGAGCATAGATGCCTCCGATCCCGAGACCGAGACAACCATTGCAAGACCCGAGTTTGAGAAGAAACTGTTGAGAAAGATCGACCTCTGGCTCGTGGGGTTCTACTCCCTCGTCTATGTCTTCCGCGTCATTGACAGCGCCAACTACTCCAACGCAGCCATCATAAACCTCGAAGCCGGCACCGGAATCAAGAAGCAGCTCGGACTCAACCCATCACAATGGGCCTGGACACTTTCAATCTTCTCATACAGCTATCTCATCTTTGAGCCCACCAACACGATCTTACTGAAGCTTTTTAGACCTTCGAGATGGATGTTCATATTGATTATGGCATGGGGAGTATCTGCGTGCTGCTCCGCCGCGGCGACGAATTTTTCGGGCATGATGTGTGTTCGTTTCGCAATCGGTATGGCTGAGGCGGGCTTCTTCCCGTCTGTGTTATATCACTATGCGTTCTGGTACAAGCCCGAAGAAATGCCCCAGCGCATCGCCTTCTTCTACTCCGTGGGACAGGTTTCCAGTGCGCTGTCTGGATTGCTGGCCTATGCCATCTCGTATATGGACCAGCTTGGTAACGTGTCTGGGTGGCGGTGGCTGTTTATACTCGAAGGGCTCCCGGCTATCTTCCTTGCGTTCTTTGCGTTTTGGTTACCTGACTATCCGGAATCAGCCAAGATGTTGAACGAAGAGGAGCGACTGTACATGAAGCAGAGACTTGCTAGCTCGGTGCCAAAGGGAGAAGCGAGTTGGGACTTCAAGTCTTTGAAGGTCATGGCCCGAGACCCGACTCTTTACACGTTCAGTTTGTACTGGATCTGCCATGGTATCGGGGGGTTCGGGGTCGGATTTGCGTTGCCGACTGTCATCTACCAGCTTGGCTTCACGACTACAGCGTACTCTCAGTTGATGAATATTGTAAGCACTCACTTGATCTAAGCTCTGTTGAAGAAGACTTTGGCTGATATCTCATAGCCTCCCTATGTTTCGGCCTTCTTGCTTCTGAACACCTTGGGCTTCATGCTTCAGAGGAAGTGGATCAGGCCATGGGTGACATCCGTAGGAAGTAAGTCACCCGAGCAGATATCCAAACTTATCACATAGCTGACGGGCGCAGTCGAATCAACAATCATCGTATGCTACATCATCCTTCTGTTTGTCGATAACCCGGTCGTTCGCTATATCTGCCTGATCGTTTCTGTGGCCTGTGCTGGATGTGCGTATCCGGTAATATGGCCGGAGCGGATCAGAGCACTTGAAGGAACCGTAGCATCTGGAATCGGCATTGGTCTGACAAATGCGTGTGCTCAGTTTGGGTATGTTCAACCGGATTCCCCATCGAGTGGCCTTTTCCTGATTTTTAGGTACAGCGGCATCGTCGGTCCACACGTCTTCAGCACGGTGTTTGGGCCTAGATATCGAATCTCGTATGCGGTCAACTTGTCGGTACTCGTGGTTGGTATCTGCTCGATTCTGATAAGTTGGTTTCTCGTTGTTAGGAAAGACAGAAAGCGCCAGGCACAAGGTTGAGAAGTTCAAAGGTGTGAGCTTGATGGTTCCGCCAGGAGACTGGCTGGCAGCCGGTGTCCCTCATGTAGTTTGAACTGCGTCCAACAAAGTCGGCCGTCGTCGAGACTCGAGACAATCCCACAAGACCAGTTGAAAGGGGCTCTTTAAAGTCTTGGCAATGATGAAAAGGACCCAGGGATTCGGGTAAAGGAGAGGGGCGTTGGCTGATTAGCATGATGTATGGGATCAACTGCAACCATGAAAGATCGAAAACGGCAAAAGCTCCTTTGCTGAATAGCCAGTCAGAGGCAACTTAATCACAGATTGCAAAAGACATCTTACCATCTTCAAGGATAATCACTTTGTGCGGTTTTCGAGAATGTCTCGATGCGGTGATGATGTGCCAGGTTGAGGATTCGGATTTGAGGACCTTGATGGCCCGGCCCGCCTCTTCGCGCCTGGGCAAACGCGGACCGAACAAGGATGCGGCATTACGAGCTCACAACAGGACCCAACCACTTCTTTGACTGGAGTTTGAGCCTTGAGGTACCAGATATGGCGAGGTGATCGAAAGACCAACTGACGGTAAACAGAACCGGGCACGTTGAGCATGTGCCAAGTTGGAAGGGAGGAATGAGTATGTTGTGATACTCCGTAGTCTCCGCGGATAACCTGACTTGGGTGGTTTCTTGGCGAACGAGCCTGGCTGAATTAAGTCGCAAACAGCAAAACAACCAGCCAACACCTTGGAAGGATCAATCAATTTTCGCATTTGTTTCTCTTGCCAAGATTCGCTAGGAGTTACCTACCTTGATGTTCTTCCGCGCCTGGGGTCCACGCGATTGGTCTTGGCGGTTGACATATGAAGCTTATTCACCCGAATAAAAAACCATATTTATAAATCAACTTTTTTACAGTCTCTTCGTCTTCACGCCTGTGCCCGAATACACTCATTGATCATTGACAAACTTTCGCGATCGGTCACTTTAATCCATATTAAGTCAGTCAGACAGCCATCCAAAATCATCAACATGAAGGCTTCTCAGATTCTCTCCATGCTCGGCTTTGCCGCCTTTGCTCTTGCACAGAGCGAGAGCTTGGCTCCTTCACCTACGGAGAGCGTCGGATGCGAGCCTCACGGCGACCACTGGTAAGTTTGGGTTTCTACCTTTGTTGAAAATGAAGCCATTCTCACATTCACCTTCAGGCACTGCGAGGGCGCGCGTGCCACCACTGCCGCAGCAGCCAGCGGAACCACCCTCCTCACCAGCGTTGCTGCCGCGACCACCACCGCCACCGAGGACCACGATCACGATCACGATGATGACCACTCTTCCGGCACCGGCAGCCTTGCTCCCTCTCCAACTGAGTCCGTCGGCTGCGAGCCCCATGGCGACCACTGGTACGTTGCGAATATACTGACTCTCTTGCCGCTTCAAGACGATCTAACGCATGAAATAGGCACTGCGATGCTGCTGCCACGGCCGTCTCCGGCACGGCCTCTGCCTCGGGCTCTGGATCCGCTGCCGTCACCACCACTGCTGCGGCTACTACTGGCGCCGCTGGCACTACTGCGGCCGGCAGCGCTTCTCCCAGCTCTACTGCTGTTCCTGCCGGAGCTGCTCGCGCTGGATTTGGTGCTGCTGCCATCATTGTCGCGGTCATGGCTTTGTAAGGGGTTTGTCGATGAGAAAATGGATTTTGTGCCTTTTAGGCATTTACGGATACACGAATTGGGACTCATGAACATACACTGGATGGGCTGTCGATTCGATAGCTGTGGTAGGACAGCTGTGTTAAGACAGCGGGCAGGCCAAATCGGGGAAAACTTCGAGAAGCTGAGCCGCTTAAGGGCATTTCTCTTCCCTTCCACTCCAAATGGAGATGGGCTTTAATTGTAGCATAGAAACAAAACACGCATTCACATAACACGTGGCTTCCCTACTCCGTGCCCATGATTATCAGCCACTAGACACCTGCCCCTGTCTTGACTTAAATCTTGACATTTGGAACTGCGCCTATTGCATCATAGAAGTTCAGGCACGGACGTAGTGACAGACCCGACAGGCTGGTTTGAGTCTAGACAGCGGGAAGTCAAAACATGCGAGTACTGAGCATGCTGCTAGTCACGTCACCGCTGAGGATCTTCAGCCGTTGTTCCAACTATGCATATGTGCGTTCCAGGAGTGATGGTGACTTCAGTGAGCATGGTGTGGCTGACTACATCACCAAACGGGAGTTATCGCAGCAAAACGTCGGGCATCTTCCTTCCTACGCAATAATGAATGCGACCTCGGGGCCAAGTCTCATTGAGGCATTATTGGTAGCTAGAGTTGTCTCATCTAGCATCGATAGATCCTCGCCGGAGGGAACACTATGTGTCATTCAGAGGTTCACAGGCGCCAACACGTGAGATTGGCCGAAGGAGCGCGCAAAAGTGCCTGCCGACAGTGACTCCTCTGCAATACGAGCCTATGGGCCTGAAGTAAGGCAGTCTTGGCGTTGAATCTCTTCATCGACCGGCGCGAGGAGCTGGTTTCGAGAAGCTCCAACGACCCTTAGCTAAAGCAGAAAACCTCGAAAAGGCCTCATCATGATGGTGGTCGGTCGACCCGGTCTACTTTATAGGAGCCTTGGCATGCAGGCGTCGCCACTTATAACCATCAAGGTTGGAGGGGAAGCTGAACCGCTGTCGGGTGTTAGTTTGTGCGTGAGTGAGATGAGACTGCGAGTGAGTGAGTGAGATTGTGAGTGAGTGAGTGAGAGAAGTGAGAAGCAAAGGAGGGACGTTGGGAGAGGCCATCAAGGTTCTTATTTTGACGTGCATGTGGGGGGACATGTGGGCGGTACGTACCGGGCGAAAAGAGGCATGTGGACCCGACGTTAAGCCACTTCAGCTGGTCTGTGCCCAATCAGAGCGGGTCCTCAGAGACAGCAGCAGGAAACACCCACTGGACATCGTGACTTCCTGTCTTGGCTTCTCCATCAGCGTTGCTTCCCATCTCGCCAGCTGCTGCCTTTTCCTTCCTTCCCTTTCCTGCCCCATGGCTGGCCATCCGGGTGCTCAGCCTTGGCGATGGGTCTCTCAGCCTTGGCAAACAGACCGCGTCGTCTTATGCTTTTTTTCGTCTCTTTTGGCTTCCCGCTTTTTCTCTCGACAAACACCATCGATCCACTTACTTTGGACGACAGGGGCTTGTGATGCCCACGTTTCCATGGTTCCCTCGGGCTGCGATGGCTTTCGGCCCAGCAGATGCAATATCAATCTGACTATGGAACATGCTACGAATGTGGGCTGAAAAATTGCCTCGACCGTCATTGGCGCGCAGCAAGCTGCATCCAGCTACGATGCCATGCCCACGGGGAACCAACCTCAGAGTCATCCGACAAGGACAAGGTCAGCCGCCGCGGCCGAGGGCCAAGACAATGAAAGACAAGCTTGGGTCGTGGAGACGTACAGAGGTCCCCAGCAATGAATTCTCGGAAGCTATTGCTTTGTTGCGTTAGAAGAAAAGCGAGCAATCCGCCCAGGAGGGGAACCTGAAGAAGCAGAACAATGGAGGGCATATCCGCGCATATTCAACACGGCCAACTGGCAGGGATCCCATCCGCCGCATCGAATTCTGTCTTCCTCCTCATTCGGACCTGCGCATGCTTACTTCGCAACTTGCAACACCCTACGCCTGGTATTCGCCTCTCTTCCTCCAGTCTCCCTGGCATCTTGTCCCTCTTGAGAAGTTCTCCCGCTGCAGAGACTTCCTCTTTCCTCGTCCACGTCCTAATCCGCCAACCCATCACCCTGAGGGACTACACCGGCCAGACATACCGGCTCGGCGAATTGACTTTCTCACCTGGACAACTTCTCTCAAGGTGCTCACTCTCCTCACCTCTCCTGGAGGGTGGTCGTTCATACTCGCCACCTTGACAAGAAAATCTCTGCCATAAAACACCCAGACCAGAACCACCCTGCCAATAAGTGCAGCTTGACGCTTCCTGCAACACCATCCTGTCTTGGATTTCGTCCGGAGAAATTCAGCCCTGTCCGCCCATCTCTGCACAGACAAGGCCCAGGCTCGCTTCCACCTTATCACTGGCAGCTTCTTCAACGTCTAGACTCGGACGTCATGGTCAGGTTCACTCCCGCTGCCGCCGTTGCGGCTTTTCTGAGTACTACCTCGGCCTCCCTTGTCGCGCGACAGACGGCTGCTAGCACCACTACCACGGCTGCTGGGTCTGATCCCACGGCCATCTCTCAGTGTTCCGTTGCCTCGTCCACTCAGTAAGAGCCCTCAGTAACCTCGTCGCTCTCCGGTCATCGAACAGCTACTCATACATCGCTCACTTCAGGATCTGCAAAGCTGGAACCACAGAGTTCACAGTCGTGTCTACTCCTACTGGCACACTACCCAGTTCGTACACTGGATGTCACAAGCATGCAACTGACTTGTAAGCTCATTCAATACCATGTCAGCATCCTATTCTAACACTCTTGACACCAGGTACTGCTTCTATCCGGATGGTGAGGTTGAAGTCGTGGCCGCCAATGCGCCGGCTGCCACCGCTGCCACGACGACGGCTGCCGCTGCTGCGACTGGCGCACCTACGGCAGTGTCTGACTGCCACCTTCACGGGGTCACGGTGTAAGCGCTTCCTTGTACTCGGTAGAAATCTTCGCTAACGAAATTTCCAGCTTCTGTATGTGGGGTACTACGGAATATCAGGTCATGACGACGCCCACCAACACTGCCGCCTCAGCGATACCAACAGCCTTCACTGGTTGTCACGCCCACGGCGCTGATACTTACTGTCTCGCTCCCAATGGAGATGATGTCGAAATTGTTGCCGAGGGTGCTGAGTCTTCCGACCATGACGACACGAGCGGAGAAGAACCTCAGGGAGAAAACTGCCACTTCCACGCCGGTGTCGAGCATTGCGTTGGCGCAGGCGAGAGCGAGAGCAGTAGCGGCACGAGAAGCTGCGAAAAGGTCACGCGAGACTATAATATTCCTCTGCGTGTCGGTCTTCTCTTCGTAATTCTGGTCACTAGCGCCTTTGGAGTCTACTTCCCCATATTCATGATCAAGTGGATGCCCACCAAGACGCACACCATCTTCCTCATTCTCAAGCAGTTCGGCACGGGTATCATCATCTCTACCGCCTTCATCCATCTGTACACCCACGCCCAGCTCATGTTTGGCAATGAGTGTCTGGGCAGTCTTGGCTACGAGGGAACCACCTCTGCGATTGTCATGGCTGGTATCTTCCTGTCTTTCTTGGTTGAGTACATTGGAAAGCGCATGGTCTTGGCAAAGATGGCCGCCAATCCTGGCGCAATGACCCGTTTCTCCCCCGAGACAGTCACCGTCCTGGTCCTTGAGTGCGGCATCATCTTTCACTCTATTCGTACGTTGCCCTTTCAGATCACCTCCTCACTGTAGCACACTAACAATGGATTGAACAGTGATTGGTATCACCCTTGTTGTGGCTGGTGACACCTTCTTCCTGACCCTCTTTGTTGTCATTCTGTTCCACCAGATGTTTGAGGGTATCGCACTGGGCACTCGCATCGCCCAGCTCGGCCAGCCGACCCCGGCTGAAATGGCAGAGCGTCCTGCCCCGAGTGCGCCCGCCGAAGTCGAGCAAACCGCCTCCGCCGGGGGCAGCCTCAACTCCCTGAAGAAGCCCAGCTTCTCCCTCGTCAAGAAGCTTATTCTCGCCTCTCCCTTTGCGCTCGTCACACCCATCGGAATGGCCATCGGAATTGGCGTCCTCTCGCAGTTCAACGGCAACGACCGCGATACAATCATCGCTATCGGTACCCTCGACGCGCTCTCGGCCGGTATTCTCGTCTGGGTTGGTGTTGTGGAGATGTGGGCCGAGGACTGGATGCTTCCTGGCGCGGAGCTCCTAAGCACTGGTCCGATTGTTACGACTCTTGCTTTCTTCGGTCTCATCGCCGGCATGATCATCATGAGCGTGCTCGGCAAGTGGGCTTGAGTTGTTGATTATTGAATAAGGATGATAGAAGGACGAGAGTCAAGTTAATGATGAGTCGTGGTGCTTACTTCTGTTACGGCTACACCTCTAATGTGGAAATGGGAAAAGTTTGTAGATATTGGGTCGGTCCTTTTCATGATAGATGTTATACCCTAAACGAGTGTAATGACAGTTTGCTTTCCAGCAAAGCCTAGGAACTCCCGTGCCTCTCCATGCATGAGATCTTGGAGGTAAACCTCGCCGATGAGTGTGTGACTTCCGTCGTCTAATACGGGTCTGAAGATGTAGAACATGTTCGTTCCAGGAACCAGCCAGACTTTGTCGCCTTGGACGGCCTCAGCAGGAGCCAGACCGACGAGCCCGCGTTTGATACGAATTAAACGGCGCCGATTGAACCGGCTCATTATGCTTGGGTTACGATGCCAATCCTCTTGGCGATATATCTCCACCTCTTCACCATCTTCAGATCTCGGTTCGATTCCTGCTAGTCCGTGGAAGGCTTCTAATACAGTCTTGTTTCCGGTCGCGTACCTTTCACCGGGGTTCTTCAGGGTGTACGTTGGATAGGATTTTGTTCGAGGAACACTCAGTGCATCAAATGTCTCCCATGTTTCCGCCACAGCATCAACTTGCACAGCTGTAATCTGCAACCGAGTCTTGTCCAGCACCCTCCAAGGTTCTGCGTCAACGGGGTACCCCTTACTCGCACAGACAACTTGCTCTCCTGTGGTGACGTCTCGCGAAAGTACTTTTCTTGGGAGGACCTGCCAGTCTGGCACCCAAGATGGTAAGTCCGATGACCCGAAGCGGCAGATTTCAAGAATGCTTAGAGGCCAGTAGTCTCTGTCTTCTGAAAGGTATTTGGCGACGGATGTGTAGAGTTGTTGAACAGTGAGAGAGTAGTTAATAGCAATGACAGGTTTCTTCCTGGCACCGTGATGGAGGAGGTTCAGCGGCGCATAGATACGGTCCCGCGGGTCTGTTGCCTGAAGATCGCGGAAACGCAAGAGGAGGCTGATGAGATTGAATCTGCGGACCATTGGGGTCCCCCTGCGCCTTGATTCACCCTGGTCAATTCCCTCAGCTTTGGAAGAGGCCCTTGTTTCATCGGATGCTCTGATAAGGTGATTAGATTCGACCATCCGCGCATAGCTCATCTTGAGATCATGAACGACCTTCTTCACCCTCGCGAGCGTGGCATCCACAAACGAGGCATCCGCGCCCCGCCTCCGCAAGCCATCGCGAAGCCAGTGCAGCGCTTGCGTATAGAGGATTGTGGCGGGTAAGAAGGCAGTACGATCTACCCACGCCGTACCGGATAGAAATACCCCGAAGTCCGTGGGAGCGGTATACTCCTGCACCGTCCAGACTCGGTTCCAGTAGGTTGACTGAAAGACTCTGACAGTCTCACGTATTGTTGTATACCGGTCCTTAACGTGGCTGGGAAGAAGTTTCGGCGGTTCTTTACTGTTTTGAGAGACGGCGAGCGCGTGGTCGCCTAGTTCGCGGAGGTATGTGAGTCCCGGGGCGAGATCCGGACCGAGCCAAGTCAAGACTAGGTCTGCTGAAGTATAAATCTCCCTCATTTGCGAGACTTGTTGGCTTCGTTCTGTGGTATCTGCCTGGTTTATCGATATAGCATCGATCCATAGCGGGACAACCTGCGATGACTTCAAGAAGAGGCGGATGTGCTGGAGAGCGGAATGGAGGTTTCTCGTGGCGTGGAAGAGGTGATTGTTTACATGGAGGAGGAGGGTATCGGAGGGGTCACCCCAGACGTAGGAGAGGGCTGTGTATTCTGCTGATGAGAGGGGCGTTGTTTCGGTTGTGAGGGTTATTGGGGTTGAGGGTGGTCCTCCGTGGAGGTTGACGAGGCGGATTTGGTTTAGTTTGAGGGGGGTGTAAGGAAGGGGAGTGGTCTGGACAGGGGGAGCTGATTTGCGGGTGAAGAGGGTGAGGAGAGGTGACTTTTTGGGTTTGGTGAGGAGTGGGAGAGGTGGTGATGAGGGGTCAAGGACCAGCTTTGAAAAGGGTTCGTCTAGTTCGCTTGGTATCGCCATTGTAGTTAGTACCTTAGTATTGTCTCATTTGACTCTCTGCAATTTGGGGGTATTGAGGATGAATAGGCGACGGGAAGGTTGCAGCGAGGTTGAAATACAAAAGTGAGGACTTGGAGATGTAAGATTGCCCAACTAGGCAGCAGCGTTACAGTGCATCCCTAGATATCGGAACTTGAAAGATAGACCGCTAGACCTAGGGCTAGGAGGGGAACAATTGGAAGTAGCTGATATAGGTATGATTACACTTATACTCTAGTAACTAAATAATGAAGTTAGTCCTCTCCCTCCCTTTTCTCGCGTAGGAATTGTCATCATTACCCTATTCAGCTGCCTGCCTCTCAGTATTCATCAGGTATCACAACCAAGCCGAAGAGTGATAAACAATAAGGTAGCTTGGATGAAGTTGTAGCACTATTGAGCTGCTAGTCTACTTAGTTAGGCGTGACAACAGTGTGGCTCCTCCATCGTGTTGTTTCCTCGGTGATTGCAATAGCCTTGTCAATCTCACCGAGTCCATACCTTCGAACCTGAGTACCACCTTCAGTGCTGATATCAAGTTGCCCTGATTCGATCATGTGAATCAGTCTGATCATAGACTCGCGATTGCACATGAACGACCCTTCAATCGACAACCTATTGAACACCATCGATATATACGGAACCTCCAAGGAACCGTAAGCGCCACCGCTGATTACGATTCGTCCACCTGGTTTGAGCGCACGAATAGCCGATGGCAGAAAGGGAGCGACGGCGACGCCACCAGGAGACCAATCGTTGTAGACGTCCGCCCCTCCACCACCAGGTGTGGCCGCCAGAATGGCAGCGGCATCGGCGTCGACGTGGCCAGTCATGAGAACGGTGCTGAGTCGAGAAGACTTCAAGCTCTGCTTCATGACTTGTAACATCTCTCCGTTCCGTCCAAGAGCAACGACATTTCCGCCAACCGCCAAGGCCAACTCGACAGCGCTTCCACCAAACGATCCGCCCGATGGCCCGATGATGATAGTGTCGCAGACTTTGAGGTTCGCAGACTCAAAGATAGCTCCGGCGGCTGGAGAAAACGTGCTGAGAGAGACGAGGTTGATCAGATCGACGCCTAACTCTCTGATGAGTTTCTCGTCTATACGGTAGGCGTTTTCGAGTGGAACGCGCTGGTATTGTTGGAGAGCACCATCACGAAAATCTCCTTCGGCTAATCTGTCGGTCTTATCGCCAGGCGGCCCCTTGACGTGGCCTTGCATGATGAACACATTCGGATCATCGCGAGCCACAACCACAGGCTCGACATGCACCAAATCTCCCTCCTTGAAGGATGTCGTGCCGCTACCAATCTTGTGCACATACCCGAGAGTTCGTGGGCACGGGACAAAGGGCGGATCGAGAAGGGGAGCGGGAATCGTGCCGTCGAATGTGGTTCTTGCGTAGCGCGATAGTGGTGTGGCGAGGACTTTGACGACGATACTGCCAGGAATAGCTTCTGGGATGGGTCTGTCTTTAACGATGACAAGAGGCTTGCCGTGCTGCTCGAGCACTGCTGCCCTCTGTGTGATAGGGATGGAAGACATGATTGGGTTTTACTCAAGAGACTGCTGACACACGGTAATGAATGACAAGCTACAGCTCAAAATTGCAGACGACCAGGCCCTTATGGATTTCTCACGACTATAATTATCATGCCTTCTTTGGGCATCACATTTCTAACAGGGATGTTCAAAATTGCAAGATTCGGGGAAATTGATAAGCAATTGAGAATGAAGTGCATTAAACTCCGCGGCTGACAGAGAGCTTGCGATTGATATCCGCTAGGTAGTCGATGGATGGCTACCTAAGGTGCGGAGATCGGACTTTCGAGAGTTAAAGCTGGTTCTATCAGCTACTTTTTATGAGAATTAGTTTGGAAATACATCCGCCTGCCAAGCAAATCCGCCTCATCTCCGCCATCTTTAGGTACAAATCTGCTCGGTCTCGCTTTTGTATATTAAGCCTGAGACGTTGGAAAAACTATCATCTTATCGAGCACGAAATGGCGTCAGTATATGCTTGTGCGGAGTGATGGCTAATGACATGTTCTGAGATGATATTGAAAGGAAATATAGAGAAAAACTGTAGATAGATTGATTGACGTCATTTCGCAAACAAGGCAATGTGCTACCTCGCTCATGTATCTAAGAGCGAATTCACTCCAGGTCATTATATCTGATTTAGAATAATCACTTCTCAAATCTCTTCTCCGTTTTTTTTTTCCGACCTCATGGCGATGTCTCCTGTTTTCTCTGTGTTTCTAAATACCGTAGAAGTGGCCCCTTTGGTACATCTTCACGTCCCATGAAAATTTCGATCATCTTGAGTCCTCTGCCGAAACTCAGCTGTTCAATACCCAGAACCTCAAACAATTCTGTCCAAGTACTGCAAGCAGCGGTATAGGTATCTTTACTTCCACCAAAAAAGTAAGGGGCCTGGAGATATCGCCAGGTAGGTATGTCGTTATACTCCTGCCCACGCCCATGAATACATCTCTCAATGGTGTACCCATCGTTGTTGATGAGGAATATCACAACATCAAGATTGTGGCGTATAATAGTCGCTAACTCTTGGGCCGTCATTTGGAAGCTTCCATCACCGATGAAGAGTATCGTACGAGCTTGGCCTTGCTTCAGACCATGATAGTTCGAATCCCCGATCATCTCACGCTGGGCAAGCGCTGCACCTTGCGCAGCCGGTAGCATAAAGCCAATGGAGAGCCAGGTCGCAGGAGTGAAAAGTCTTGTATGCGGCGGCAGGTGCATTTCTCTTACACCGTAGCCTGCTGTACCAGTCTCTCCAAGTACAATGTCCCCGGGGCGAAGGATGTTGGCGACAGAGCGCCATAGCTTGTCCTGGTATATTCGGCCCGAGTCGCCCGCCAGGGCATCCAAAGGCAAGTGGGAATCTCGGTGGAGGACGGGATAGGGATCATATTGGGCGATCTTCTTGAGGTTGATGTTGTGGACCAGCTCGGATGTGACGAACGACGCTGAGACATCACGAAAGACGTCAGAGCCAATTTCCACCTTGTTTCCCTTGACGAAGATGTAAGACTTAAGATTCGAGAAAGTGGTAAAACCATACGTGTTGCTCGAACTCAAGTGTGGTCCAAAGAAGAGGACTAAGTCTGCGCTCTCGATAACTTCCTTGTCAGGTCGCTCCGAAGAGTCTCCTTTGTAGATGCCGTGGAAGTTTGATCTCGTTTCGTTGTAGAGTCCTTTGCCAAAGTTTGTCGTCCAGGTTGGCCACCCAGTTGTATCAATGAGAGCCTGGACATCATTGACGATCCCTAATGGCCTACATTCGCCGTCGGCAATAATGATTGGTCTCTTAGCTTCGTAGATACTCTGGAGAATCTTCTGCAATACTGCGTCGCTTTCCGGACTCGTGCTCGCATTGTAGTCTGCGCTGCTCAAAGGCGTCTGCAGCTGCACGTCAGGTACGCTAACAGCCACAAGATCCATGGGGATCTGGATATAAACAGGGCGGCTGTGCAGAATGCACTGTTGCAACACAGTATCAATCTGCTGAGTTGCTGTCCGAAAGTCCCATAGTGACGTTTGTGCCACCGTGACATACTCCTGCATCTTTGCGAACCGACCATAATCGCCATCCGCAAAGGTGTGATGGATGAGCAGCCGTGCATCTTGAGATGCTCTCGATGGGGTTCCAACGATATGCACAACCGGAGAAAGTTCTGCATAGGCACCGGCGATAGCGTTGACCGCAGAAAGTTCGCCAACACCAAATGTCGTGATGACTGCGCCGATACCTTTGATTCTTGCATATCCGTCTGCCGCGTAAGCCGCGTTAAGCTCATTCGCGTTTCCAACCCAGGTGAGTCCCGATGGCTTCACGTAGTCCAGTAGATCCAAGTTGTAGTCACCGGGAACGCCATGAATTGCGCCGACGCCGAGTTGCTTCAGTCGAGTAAACAGGTATGTGGCGATAGTCGTTGAGGCAGACATGACGATCGGGGCTGTGAGCAATCTTGAGGACAGGAAAAAGAGTTCTGCAAGACTTGGTAAAGAAACATCAACATAAGTTCGTTCAGTTCAAGTAAATGTACTGGATTCATCATCGGCCATAATCAAACTATACTCATCAATAGCTCCGAATATCGGTATTCGTCCTGAGTTGTGCATTGCATCGTTCGCTTGGCCCAGCCCGGAGTTCTCTGATATGCTGAGGTTCTTGTACCCCTGTATCCCGGTCACTCCGGTGTCCGATCCGATACGATCTTTCTCCGATCCTAGCACGTCACTCCGAGGCCTCTTCTTCTCTATGGTACTTCCCATCTTCCATTCAAACTTCGCGCGCCACACCGGCTTCACCCCATCCGACTTTTCACTGCTGAACAACGTTTATCGTGTCGAGCGGCTGAATCCTACTCAAAGTCTTGCCCGGCGATGAGTTCGAGACAGGCCGCCTGTGAGCCCTGCAGAAAGTCAAAGCTTGCGTGCGGCCACGAACGGCCCACTTGTCTCCGATGCAGACAGCATGACAGAGCCGGCTTATGCACTTACAGAGCATTTCCTTTCAAAAGAAAGCAACCACCAAGCGCCTACTTGCTCGACGCCGAAACAGTCTCTCCGTACGAAAATCGCCGCTCTCCAGAATTGTAACCTCAGCCTTTGCCGATGGTGTGCCCTTACATTTAACTGACCTGGGAAACATAGCCCACAAGAGCCTTCTCTGTCTTTCAGTCCGACAGGCCGCGAACATCCGTACCCCAACCCAGGTTATCTCGGACAGTCAAGTCATGTTGCCATTTTCGATCAAATTCGCCAACAACACGATGAAAATGAGGAAAGCGCAGGATCTAGCCTCAACTCGCCATCAAACCCTGGTCGGCGGCTGAGGCTCATGTCGTTTGAATCTCAGCAAGCTAAACAAGGGGCCGAGTGTTTGAAGCAAATTCTGCGCGGGTACAACTTGCGAGACATGAAGAGCCTTGTCTCATTTTGGCGAGCAAGGGGCGCAAACCTGGCTCTCGCCGGTCCTTTTGTAGAGTTGTGTTGCGAAAGCGCAGATTGCTCTTCGCTATCTACCTTCCAAAGGGAGACTTGGCACAACGCCCTTGCCCAGAAGCTTGTGGAGAACACAGCAAGTCCGTTCGAATATGATGCTAGGACTGAGTTCTCCGAATACATTGCGCAGTTGACTCACACACATACTCGATGGGAAACAATTGGTATATTTCTCTGCGCAGTTCTGAGAGCTTCAATGGATATACCCTTCTTTCCCTCTTTGTTCACCTCATCAGCCCAGAAACGCGACTTCTGCGCCATGCTGATGCGTCAAATTGGCTGCATACTAGAAGTTTGCTTGTCTATAGATTGTCTTAATGACTTGCAGCTGTTCTTACAGTATGAACGTTGCATCATTCACTCTTACGTTGACGGCGATCAGAGTAAGTGGTGCAGCCTGTGCTCGAGGACTTGCGTGCTCACAAGTCTGACAGGTTATAATTTGTGGCGTAGCTTGGGCGATGCTGTTTCGTCTACCTTCGCGCTGGGCTACCATGAAAACATGGGGAACAAGCCGGATACGCCATACTTCCTTGTACAATTGCGCAAGATGGCCTTTGCACGGATCTATTCCGCGGACAAGAATGTCTCCCTGTTTCTTGGCAGACCATTGCGCATGAGTAAACGGTTCTGTCATTTCCATCTACCGGATACACTTCCTCTCTCGGAGCCTTCGCCATCCGACAATCAGCGAGGCTTGGGCTTGGTTGAATGGCTGCCGAATTCAGCCATGGATTACAGGGCAGAGACGCGCTGGTCAGCATTGTGTGCGTCGATCAAGGAAGAAATCATGGAGCTTTTATTCGACCGTAGTCGCGCGGATCATACAGCCAGGATCCTGTGAGTTTGGTCATACTTATGACATATCCGTCCATGATAACTAACTATTGAAGTGAACTTGAGAAATCAGCCGAGGAGCAATGGCGTGTGCTTCCGGATAGGTTCCGTTTTGATCAGCGACCACCAAACAGCGCCACCCCCTTCGAACGCGATTTCATGTTTAGCATTCATCTCAACCATCTACATGTCAAGCTTTTGTTGAGGCGTCTGACTTTGAAGCGCCAGTCAGAGCCTAATGGTGATGTCGTTGAAATAGCCCAGAAGATGCTTAGCTTGGTGGTCGATATTGTCCTCACTCGAGATGAACTTGCAAATTCGGGCACCAACCTCAGTTGGAAAGTAGGTGCTTTTGCTGTTACCTTATCATGTGTCCTACTAACAGAAGTCAAGGTTGCTCACTATGGGCTACCCGCAGCTGGTATGGTTCTTCTCGCAATGGCAAGCCAGATAGATGCCCCTGTGTTGGTTGCATCACGTGCCAAGCTACTACGAGATCTCACCGTACTGGCCGCAGAAATTGAGAGAGGAAGAATCGTAAAACTGGAAGATCCGAATTACGCTTTGTTGGCTAAAGCCGCTAAGACCATTGGATGTTTTTTGGATTCGGTCTTTAGCGACGATGGGAGGAACAGGAGTGGTTTGGACATCAGTTTATCAAACAGCAGTCCTCGGCAAGCCACGGACGACAATTCATGGGCGGAAATATTGGGATCGGATGCCTGGGACTCTGAACTAATGTTCTGGCAAGCCCTCGCGGATCACCCTAACGTTTTCAACCAGTACCTAGTTTAGGTCCAAACTTGACATGTCCTTTCGGCCTTTGGGTGATGTAGGTAGGGAGATATGATTCCAATGGATGCAGTGGGAACCTGATTTCGATGGGCTGTCATGGGCAGACGTAGAATACAGCTCCGTTAGCGAAGGACTAACGAGTTTTAGGTCATGGCTGGATCTGATTGCGTCCTGCTACCTTAAAGTTCTTCTGTCGCAGTGTCTCGATTAGTGCCTTGATTTCGCTCTCGGTAGGCAACGTGGAAATGACTTGTGAGGACCACCACCAGTGAGCAGTCAGGCCGATTCGGGGTTTAATTAATGTGACGACTATGAACATGCGTCTACCCCCGACATGAAATGGCGCAATCGTTCGCTTTTTTGTATCAAGAGGCGTTACATACGGAGTATTGGCATGCCTCTTCCGGCCCCATCCTAATACCCCGTTCCGAATCCGTGTTGTGTCGGACAAAGCCCCACTCCGACTCCCATAAAAAGATTGTCGAAGCCATTTGTATACCAATAGAGTGGTCGGAACGGACGAGAAGCTCGCCGTCATGTCTATCCCCGGGGCAGAAAGCTGGATACCGTAAACAATTTAGGCAAGGATTGTGGCTTCTACAACCCATAAAGTACACTCAATTGCGTGATGCATCGGGACATTGCGACTTCAGGACTCCAACCCTGACTTAGATGAGGGATTGGTTCTCCCCGATCGAACAAGCTTTTTCGCCGACCCAGTACTGTTTGACTAATTCAATCTAGTCGGACTCTCAGACTGATCTGACCCTCTCCGAGTCTGAACAACCCCTGTCCGATCATGAATTCCTTTGGTTGGTGTATATGATAAGCCTGGGTCCCAACTACTGAATGTGACATGGAACTCTGATAATATCTCAAGCTTTCAATAACTTTACCCAAATACCCTTCAACATGACGTTCAACGATGATATTATCAAACTGCAGCAGAACCGCTCAGTTCAAGAACCTCTACCATCTGGTATCGCTCCATACACTTGCTCTGCCTTCTTCAAGAGCCGTGAACATGGATTGAAGCCAAAGGCCCGGCGCTGGGATCATCTGCTCAGCAAAGAAAGTCACGATTTGAAACCTTCACCCCTTAAAACAGCCTCACGAGCCAGCGGACAGAAGAAGCTGATCAGCTTAGGCACAGCTCGTCCTGCTCCACAATATTTTCCCTGGGAGTCCCTGTCACTTCGATGCCTCCAAGATGCCGGTACCGAGCAAGGACAACCAGCGCCAACGGCTTCAATGGCTTCAGTCAAGCTTGAACAGGCATACGACCTAGGTGTGGCAATGAACTACGGTTTCTCGGCAGGGTCACCTCAAACGCTGAGATTTATGACGGAACACATCGAAATTATTCACAAGCCTCCTTACGAGGATTGGGATTGTGCCTTGACCTGCGGAACGACTTCGGCCATTGAAATTGCATTCCGTATATTTTGCAACCCTGGGGACACCATTCTCACGGAGAATTACACTTACTCCGGGGCCATGACTTGTGCTCATGTCCAGGGCCTTCATATACTCGGCATCGAAATGGACGATCTGGGCCTGCTTCCAGACGATCTTGACCACAAACTTCGGACATGGGACTACAAAAAGGGTCCAAAGCCATCAGTCTTGTACATGGTCCCGACTGGACAGAATCCTACGTCAATTACGCAGAACCTAAATCGTCGAAAACGGATATATGCGGTTGCAGAGCAGCATGATCTCTACATACTCGAGGATGACCCATATTACTTCCTTCAATTAGGCAAATCGGAACGCGCAATGGAATCTGCACAACTCTACAAGACAAAGGCAAATGAGGAGTTTTTCAATAGTCTTCCACCCTCATATCTTTCACTTGATGTGTCTGGCCGTGTCCTTCGCATGGATACAACATCCAAGATTCTCGCTCCGGGCCTGAGATGTGGTTGGGTCACCGGGAGTTCCCAGGTCATTCAGAAGTTTGTGTCCTACTCCGAGATTGGTGTGCTATGTCCCAGCGGACCGTCGCAAGTCATGTTGTATAAACTTCTTGACGAGACTTGGGGCCACGACGGTTTCTTCAGTTGGCTCAGGTCACTTTCGCTGCAGTATCGCTGCCGGCGCGATAATCTGCTGGAATCATGTGAGCGCTTCCTTCCCTCCCACATCTGCGAGTGGAAAGTTCCGGCGGAGGGCATGTTTCTGTGGATTAAGGTGAACATTTCCGCATACCGGCAATCACACACTGCCGGCCTTGAAGATGGTGATGTGGCTCACTATCTTGCTGTCGAGGACAGGATTTATCAGAAGGCCCACGATAACGGAGTTCTCGTCAGCAAAGGAAGCTGGTTCATTGCCGATGTTCAGACACTACAGGGTGTCAACTTCCGATTGACATTCGCGGCTGCGCCTGTACACGAATTGGATGAAGCCTTGCAGCGCTTTGCCAGTGCTCTGGAAACCGAGGTATGCTGAAGATTACTCGCGTCCAATTGCAGCTCATAGGTAGAAAATAGGATTATGAAATAGATGAGTATCTAAATCGCAGTCCCCAAACCTTTGCCCCAACAGCCGACGTATGATGAGCAATTTCACCGAGGCTAAGGGAAACTAAAGTGAATAAAGAAATGTGTGAAACGTCCCAACTGTCTTATGGCTCATAATCTATAAGGCAGATTTCCAGCCACCCTCCGCCTCGAAGATCTTGCCGACAGCCTTGGAGACTACCAAGAGATGGCGGTCGTGATACCTGGGAGCTACGAGGGACACGCCAACGGGCATCCCGTTCGGACCCTTGAAACCTGGAATGTTGACAACGGGAACATGCAGCGCCTATCACCCTTGTTAGCACTGACCACCCAAAAGATCGATTCCGAGAGAGACCTACTGTCCAAGGAGCGTTGAAAGCTGCACTTCCGGTGCTCGAGGTTCCTTCCGGCGCCTCATCAACGACGCTAGGCACCAAAACAGCATCATACTTGCCCAGCATCTTATCAACCTTGGGCCTTGCGATGGCAATATTGTCAAACGCCTCTAGCTGCTCCGCTCTGCTGATCTTGTTGGTGTTGTCAACATGCGAAATCAAGAACTCGTGCAGTTGATCCTTAGCAGCGCGGTAGTCTGGCAGGAAAGCGGATCTTCCGTCGCTGTGCAACACCGTAGCATGCCACTGAGGCAGCTCCTCAAGCTCAGGATCAAATTCAATCTCTTCAACCTCGGCTCCGTGAGCCTTGAGAAGCTCCTCAGCCTTCGCCATCGCAGACTTGGTGCCGGGTCCAGCTTGAGGCCAAACCATCGTCTTCAATAGAGCGAACTTGGCGCCCTTGACAGTGAAGGTGTCCTTCGGGGGCTCGTCATCTTTCAAGTCAAAGACATCGGCCATCAATTGCAGGTCTTCGACACTACGGGCGAAGAAACCGAGCGTATCTAGGATCAAGGAGTAAATCTTCTGACCCTCGCGCGTGATGGAGTTCCACGTCGGCTTCAGGGCGTAGATGCCATTGAAAGATCCAGGGCGGATCGTGCTTCCGCCTGTCTGGGTGCCTAGGCCGATAGGCGCTTGGAAATCCGCAATAGCGGCGCCTGATCCTGACGAGGAGCCACCGGGGGTTCGGTTCGTGCCGTGTGGGTTTACTGTCTTTGGACCTTGAACCGTCGCTGCGAATTCGGTCGTGGTTGTTTTGCCTACTTTTGTCAGTATCGCATTCCTGGGGTTGGGTTGAACTAACAGCATGGACCTACCAAGAAGCAGCGCGCCAGCCTGTCGCAAAATTATGATGGAACCGGCATCGACTTTGGGAGCGTCTCTAGCGTAGATTGGAGATCCGTGCTGTGTTGGCATATCTAGATTTCGATTAGTGCTCCTGTAGAATCACAGGCGAATATTCGCTGACCCTTTGTGTAGATAACGTCTTTGACTGCGATCGCAACGCCGTGTAGGGGTCCGCGCTTCTCTGGCGGTATCGCATCCATTGCCTTCGCTTGTGCAATCACCTGCTCTGGGTTCAAATACTCCCAAGCTTTGACTAGGGGGTCTCTCTCCTCAATGTGAGACAAGAGCGAGCGCGCGTACTCCTCCACAGTCAACTCCCCGGCCCTTATCTTGGCTGACGCCTGGGTCGCCGTAAGTCGATACGGTTCAACTGCCATTTTGTGATGGTGTTGCAGTTTTGCTATTGTCGAGAAAAGATATCAGAGAGACAAACGTTTTGACAATACAAACTCGTCAAGTGCCTCAGTGGGAGACGATCCAGGACAAGAAGGCGGGGTATTAACAGAGTCAGAGCGCCACGGTTGCAGTGAACTCTGTCCAAGGCATGCACTCAGGAGCCTCGTGAATAAATTCGCTACCGTGGCTGTTCTGGATCCAGAGGTTCGGAAGGTAACTCTCGAGTTTGCAGAGTCTATGAAACGGGATAAGAACATGAACAAAATCGTGGAGTTCTCAAGAGTTGGAGTAATCTGGAGGCAATCCGGCTATTTCAAAGATGTTTTCCGGTGACTCCAACGGCCGTAAGAGGGGCCATCCCTGATACCCCAACCCCGCAGGCCGTTATCGTCCGCTTCAGATCCGCCGCCGCGATTGTTTCCCCCGCAATATTTCCGCCTACGCCTTCAAAAGCAGACTGCGACACGTCCAATTCGGGATCTTTCCACCGAATGAGGCGTGCATTCTGAACATTGTTGCCCGGAACTCCAACGCTTACATATTGAGAGGCCAAGGGAGACCCGCTGACTTACGCAACGAATTGCCTTTGCTGGCTAGCCGGGGTGGCTTTGGGGCGGCTTCTCCAGTCACGTCATGACAACATGAATTCAAGAGGATGCCAAGTAGTTGACAGGAATTCTTGTCCCAGGATACGTTCTCACAACTTCTATCACTACTTTAGTTCTACTTATACTGTCACTGATAGTACCACGATACCTATTTCTACTCACATTCCTCCTTCTACTAAGATCTCTTCCATATTTGTTCTATCTGAAAAGCTGAGTAGGTCTGAATGGAGTCAAGTTCTGGACAGCTATCGATCACTAGGAAACCACAACTAGGCCTCTAATTTCTGCACTTTTCCTCCCAAGTACAACTCTTCAGCCTCGTCAATACGCGGAGATGGCAGCGCATAAATCTCGCCTTCCCTTTCGCCCTCAAAGAACCCATCCCGGCCTGCTTTCGCCAGCCATTCGTAGTCCATCGGGGCATTCTCGTAGCCTGGAGGATACACCTTAGTCTTGAAAAACTGCACTAGCACAGCGTACAAGATGGCCGATGTAAAAAACGTCAACACCCAGCCCATCATGTACATGTACTTGGCCGGTTGGCTGACAATATGAGGCTGGTATTGACCGACGAGACCGGGCAATCCCATTGCTGTACCGCTGATCCAGGCAAACACCCCAACCCAGTTGACTCCAGAATTGAACCAGTAGAGGCCCTCTTTAGAGCCATTATACAGCGACGGCACGTGGATGTTGCCCTTTCGAACCAAGATGTAGTCAAAAATGATAATCTGGTCTTTGTCAGCAATATGTTCTCAAGACTGGTTTTCAAGACAGGGCGTTGAAGTACTCACAGCGCATAGGGGAGCCATGAAGATGTTGTAACTCCCGAGGAATGAGATGAAGGCGGACGCGTTCGCAATAAGCTTCCACGGCAATACAACAATACCGAGTATTGCACAAATGATCTGGCCTCGACGGATCGTCAAGTGCGTGGGGAACAGTCCAGTCATGTCCGCGCCAAAAGGTAGCGAGTTTGCACCAAAGTTCGTCGCCAGCACGCTGAGAATGAAACTGAACGACACAAAGAAGACACCAGCACGGGCGGTCGGATTCCAGTAATGGTCAAGGATGGCATCGAGAAGATCCCATAGGTTCCAGTAGGCCTTGCCCCAAGCACCCTGCAATGAGGTTGTCGAAGCTAGGCCAAGGAAGAAGACGAGGATCTTCGCGAAGAAGACACATGCTCCCTGGAGCCAACCGGCATCTCGAGGCTCTCTGCAGTATCGCGCGAGATCAGGTTGGTTCACGAGCATTGGCGAAAGAGAACCCATGATGACATTGATGCCGCTCATGATAGCCCATCCGACGGGTGTTCTAGCAGCTGCTGATGCGCCTGCGACAGAGGCAGCGCCAATATTGGAGATTCCGGTTCCATAGGACATGCACCAGCCGAAGAGTCCGAAGCACGCGAATGGCATGATGAAGCCCTTCACGGTGTAGATGTAGTGAATGTGAATCGGGTGTACCCAGGTCTGCCGCCAATGTCAGGGAATGCATGCCATTAGAGAGTCGCATACTACATATACTCACAAACGGGAACTCAACCAGCCAAAGGAGAAAGAAAGCCAGCAGCTGCTTTGAAGTGACGTCGGCACCAGTGGGAAGCATGTTGGGCCAGTTGTCCCAGCTGTTTCCAAAAATGCAGCGGAAGCAAACGGACAACAAGTTCGCACCGTAGTAGGTCTGAATACCGTACCAGATGATGCACACAATTGCTCGGATAAAGATGAAGAAGTAGGATCCATACATTCCCATCACCGATCGTGCAAGAACAGGACTTGAACAAATGTCAGAAAATCCAAAATGTGGGAGGAGAGTTGAAACACACTATCCTAGGTGGTACATCACGCCAGGTCTCGCCATACCAGTAACGACAATAGCGGATATGAGTGAGCCAAGAACGCAGGATACAAAGGCTTGTTGCCATGTCTGATTTTGTCAGTGCATATAATCAACGATGCTGTCTTTTGATAACTTACCAGACCCACGGCGATGAGGGAAGACGCGACGTTCCACCCGGTCGTCCCAAACATGTTTGAGAACCAGTACAATGGCAAGTTGTACCAAGTCCATGTTCTTTGTTCTGGCGGCGTCGGCTCGAGATCCTTGTTCGACCACCGAGAGTCTCCGATCTGAGTTCGTCCCTCGTGAGCTTCGGGAGCCTTGATCCATTCTACGAAGGCGTCTTTCGATTGGAAAGGCGCGGCCATTTCGCCTTTTGTTGGTATACGGAAGCGTGCCATCATTAGTTGAACCTGTGGTAACCGAACAGCACTATCAGTACCCTATCAACCATCAAAGAGACGTGTTTTCATAAAAATCCGCGTCCCCTTTCTTCTTTGCTCTACAACACTGAGGACTTTCGTCCATATTAGAGACCCGATGCTCACGCATCAGCTCTATTGCAACCCTGATTGTAGTTCCTCATTCGTCGGCGACTTTCCAGCCGACAGACAGTGCGTCGCCACGCGAGTCCGGTGATCTGTGCAATCATGAGCTACAACTACGGAATGATAAGACTTTGGCATGGCATATGCGGAGAGCGGTGCTTGGCATGTAGATGGATGGGCCGGGGACCTGGTCTCGGGTGTGATCCACCAAGATAAGGCGGTGGCCGGCCGTTGGTCTTATCTACGGTGGACGTCCGAATAGGTATCCCAATCCGGTAAAGACGCGGTCATCGGTAGGGAACTACCGGTGTTTACGTATCACTCGAGTTCGGAGTGAGGGCATGGTGCTGGGAGACAGAGTCCTAGCTGCTGTGTGCTTATTCCCGTGGAAGAGGCAACCATTCGTAGAAAGAAAAACGAATGAGTTAATGGATGATTTGAAAGTGTGTGTACCAATTCAAGACAGATACGAGTAGAAGGAAAGCTGGATGATGACGCAAACCATCACCATACTAAAGTTCAGAGTCAAGTTCTCGTGATGAGTAGGCTGCGTGCTATCCGGGGGCGGGGGGCTTAGGTGTCCGAATCCTTCGATGTTCCTAATAGCCCATACATCTCATACTTGTATTTGTATGAGTGCGTCCAATGACACTCCCGATTCTGATTGTGGAGGATCCTTGCAGGCGTCGTACTGGCCCATTCTACTTCGGCTCGAAATCTTCCTAAGTTCCTACTTTCCTCACTGCACTACTCATCCATACATACATGCCGAATCAGGAGAATGCTCGAGATGACTGCTCATGTTCGGACCGAGAACATGCTGGACAAGACATCTCCCGTAGATCTGGCCTTCTCCACGTCGGCCGGCTTCAACACGGAGGGTCCCGTGAGTCCCCGCACCGGCCCACCGGGCTCGGCGGCGCAGATCCGGAAGTCGAGGGTGGCCTTGGCTTGTAAGCGATGCAAGAGAAGGAAACAGCGTGTAAGTCGTTGATATCGACAGCTAGATCACCATTGTTCATTTGCTGACTAAATACGACATTGAAGTGCGACGGCGCACATCCAAGTTGCGGGTCTTGCGTCAAGTCCAACTCGTCATGTGTCTATGAACGTGCACTGAGGCCGCACTATCCTGGCGGAAAGTCGCTGCAAGTCTTTCCCTTCATGCTGGTACGATTGTATACTTACACGAGCTTCAGGTACATCAGCGCACTAGAAGAGAGAATCGCATTTCTCGAGGCCCGGATGCCAGATTACGCAGAAGACCACTTTGTCAGGACATCTTCCGAGGCAACACCACCGGAACCCAAGACGAGAGATCCTCGGAGAAATTCACGAGACTCACTATCGGACGATGAGCCGTCCTTTCTAGTCAACGGCGTTGCGTACTTGTCGCTCTGTGCATCTGGCACAACGGACACTGCACCAGAGCCATTCTATCTGGGATCAAGCTCCGGCGCAACCATTGCGCGCATGATCCAGTCTTCCATCTTCCACAGTTCAGGCGGTAAAGCTGCGTTCGATGCTAATACAACTTCTCAAGCTATCTCATCGACTTCGATGCAATCGCAACGCAAAGTATCAGTGCCCTCTAGCCCGGAGGAATCGCAGTCGGAGTTTCCGTGCCCTGAGCAAGCGGAGGTGCTGTTTGACGTTTTCTTTGATCGGCTTCATACGCGATGGCCTTTTCTAGATCGCAAACTGTACACTAAGCTATTCAAGCAGCAATACGACCATGGAGCCCTCTCTATTCAGCACCAAAGCATTATGCACCTGATATACGCTATATCCGCAAGGTTTCTACAGTTGATGAAGAAGCCATGTGAAGTAGATCCCCAGGTGAGAGTTTTCTAAAGGCAAAGCTTAAACTTCCAAATCTAACATGGTCGCTGTCAGAAACACCTCGCGGCGGCTATTGAGCCGATGGACTACATCCTGGAAGAGCACAATCTAGCCACTGTACAAGTTCTCCTCTTACTCGCCGTGCATGGGACTAGAAGCCCCTACGGTGCCGGAGCGTGGTCCCAGGTACGATACGCTGTCACGCTCTGCATAGAGCTAGGCCTCCATCGAAAGCAGTCTAACACCTCGACTCACAATTCACGCGATCTCGAAATTAGAAGGCGCGTCTTCTGGTCATGTTACTGTTTGGACCGTATGACAAGTGTGGTGCTTGGACGTACATTCGCCATCGCCGACAGAGACATCAACAACGAGGTACGTTATAGGAGAGCCTGCCGTAGGGAGAGGATGAAACTGACAGTTGCGTAGCTTCCAAGTGACAGCTTGGAGTTTTGGGATTTGACAGCACTGAAGAATCCGTCAAGTACATCGGAACTACCCTGGTCAAACACGAAGCCTTTCATCCACATAATCAAGCTCCGAAGAATACAATCCAAGATCCACCATCGAGTGTACCGTGTCGACAAAGACGTTTTTTCGGGTTCCTTGGACGACCGAGCGAGACTCGACAGCAAAATAGGAGAAATCAGAGCAGAGCTCGATGAGTGGGTGAGGACAGTCCCTCTTCCGCCAAAAAACACCGGCACAATAAGTTGGATGTACGATCCAGAAAGCGCTTATCATGACTCGAGAGATTTCTTCAGCCTGTAAGTGCTCGGCATATTCGTCTTTTTCATTGCAGAAGATGCTCACCACGAGGCTAGTCAGTATCACAAGTCAGTCCTGTCGCTCTACACCGTTCTCCTTCCAGCGCTCAGTACTTCAGACTCGAGGTTTCTCACCACCGCTCGATCCGCCGCCTGCGTTTGCACAGCATACAAGCGGCTTAACCAGCAGAAGACGCTAAGCTACACCATGACGGCTTTACACTCATGTTTCATTGCTGGCTTGACGCTCGTATACTGCATATGGCGGGACCATGCTCTCTTCTCGTATGATACGCTTGAAGCCACGAGGGCATGTTCTCAATCCCTGACCATTTTTGGTGAGAAGTTCAACGGCGCGGTGAAGTACCGCGACATCTTCGATGCCCTCTCAGGGAGTCTGTTCAAGACAGTTGTTAGCCCGCCAGCAAGCCCAGCCGAGGGATCACAGCCTCTCGATGTGAATCTGAGAGCGAACTTAGGAGGTCAGTCAACGATGTCGCCCTCGGCAACTCTCGAAGAAGTACACGTAGCTATTGGAAAGGGTAGTGAGACTGGAGATAATTCATCGGTAGCCCATGCGATCTCCGATGCTGTAAAAGAGGCATTCATGGAGGTAGACGAAGAAGCGCCAGGCGGTTGGCAGGGTTGGAGAATGTTCAACGAGATGGTGCAACCTGACCTCAACTATGCCGATAACCCGAAGAAAAGTGATGACAGAGACAGAATGTACGACAAAAGGAGTGGTTTTGTGCTTGAGCCTAGATTCACGGAAGAGCTCGAGCAAGGGGTACTGTCAGGCGTCATGGAATCTGACTTGGACTTTGCCAAATCAGGAATTGTTAGCTGAATTATCCATCTTTTGTTAGATTCCTTTTTGTGTCGCAAAGTTGCGACCGTAATTAGATACTCTGCAGACTCATCTCCTGTCGCGGCTATTTTCATGACTGATCGCCTCAACCGCTTGATTCACAACTTGCGAATAGCCTCCAGTTTTCCATCGGGTGATTAGTCATCACCAGCGGGTCGGTTAGCTCAGTTGGTTAGAGCGTGGTACTAATATTTCATCAGAAATGTTGAGTAATGCCAAGGTCGGGAGTTCAAGCCTCCCACTGATCATTCTTTTGCTCCCAGCCATATTCAGAACTTTTTAGGTTGCCTATCCATTAACACAGCATGTTTTCACCCCTAGACAGATGTCAGCAGCTTATTCATAGGCTACTGGGGAGCATATGTAGGGGAAAGGGGGTGGTGGAGTGGTGTAGAAGCCGGCTCAGATTCGATGGGTGAGTGAAGCAAAAAGTGTCCAAGAAGCTTGATACACAACCTACCTATCATCAGTACTATCTTATCTACATTATCAACCATCTCTTCATGCCAACTGCCCCTTCTTATACGGATATTTCGCCTTGAAGGCCTCTGCGATCTCGGTCCTCGTAGCAACCCAAACGCCCTCCTTGTTCGCAATGTAATCCACAAAGTCCCTCAACGCAGCCAGTCTTCCCGGCCGACCAACAATACGACAATGCAGCCCAATTGTCATCATCTTGGGCATACCTTCCTGTCCCTCCTCGTACAGCACATCAAACGCGTTCTTCAAATGCGTGTAGAACCCATGTGGATCCCGGAACCCAGATCCCGTAACGTGGAACTTAAAGTCGTTACAGTCATAGCTGTACGGCACCATCAAACACCCCTTTGGATCAGGCTTCTCTCGCTCAGTGGGTAGATCAATCCAGTACGGCACGTCGTCGGCATATGTATCACTCGCCCACACAAGATCCTCCCCCATCTCCTCATAAACCTGCGGCACAAGCGTCCGCGAGTGCGGCGAGTTGCGGCCGTAGTACCACCCCTTGGGCGCATACCCCGTCAAACTCTTGAGCGAAGTGATACACTTGCGGATATACTCCTGCTCCGTCTCAATCGGCACGTCGTGGTAGTCGATCCAGCGGTATGCGTGCGAGGCGACGTCGTGGCCTTCCTCCACGCACCGCGTCGCAACCTCGGGCTGCTCCTCGACGGCCTGGGCGACGGCGTAGAGAGTGAACTTCATCTTGCGGGAGTTGAACAGGCGGAAGAGGCGCCAGAAGCCCGCGCGGGAGCCGTATTCGTACTCTGACTCGACGCTGTAGTTGCGCTCGTTGTACTTTGCGGGGCCCATGGGGTTCTCGCGGAGGTTGGTTTCCGAGACGCCGTCGCCTGCTAGGACTGATCGTTCGCCGCCCTGTTACAGGAGTATGTTAGCTGTTTACTTCTTCTACCTGTCCTTCTTGGATCGAGTTAGGGGCCAGGAAGACGTACCTCCTCGTAGTTGATGACGAAGGAGACTGCAATCTTGGCGTCGTTGGGCCATGGGCAAGCGAGACCTTTCTCGCCGTAACCCTTGAAGTCGCGCGGGTAGCCATAGTCTGGATGGGCGTGGTATGCTTCCGGCATGGTGAAGGATATCTTGTTGATCAGGTAAGACGACTGGATTCTTGGGATTCAGTGATGCTTCAAGAATAAGTCAACGGCAGAAACAGTAGTGCAAATATTGAGTAACACACCATCCGTAGCTCGAGTCAACGACCTTGATCAAGCGTACAAATAGCAAGACCGAGACTATGATCGGCCAGACTCAACCGGCCAATCGTCCATCGGGCGACGCAGTCCGCCATTCGTGGCGCATTATCACGGCTATCTGCACTGAGCAAAGAAGTCTGCAGACAATCCCTCCCTATCAGAGCTGAAGTCTTCATTCCCCAGCGCGTTGCAGCGTGCAGCGCGTTATCACATCGCCGTTGTGCGCACACACATCCATCTCGGGGTCTGGAGGGGGCAAGGATGCAAGCTGTTGGAGGCGTTACATTCGGCAGGGATGGTCGCCCTCCATCGGATGACATCGAACCGTTGGAGCACTTCGGAGATTTCTGTCGACCCAGGGGTGGTGATAAGGCGCGGGGTTATGGATGGGGTATCGTTGGCTGTGGGGATGCTCTTGATAACAAGATTGATCGAGGGGCATGACGGGATGCATGTTGATGTAATGCCCAGGCCTATCTCTGACCGGAGTCTTGACCGGGGATAGCTTGAAGGGCGTGGATGGCAATTTAGCATTGAGTTGCGGGATGGGAATCGGGCTGACTTCCGCTACTCCGCGATGAGATGCTCGGCAAGTCAATCGGATATCCGCCTATGAGAAACCTTGAGCTCTTTGTAAAGTGAGAAGCCTGTCCAACGCGATTCTCTGTGACATCGATCATGAACCGAGTTCATCAAATGCCACTCATGCTATCCTTACCCACTGTCATGCCCTTTTGAAAGCTCTATGCTGTATGCAAATGTACCGTCACCAATTCATCCATGCTCCTAATTCCCACTCGCCTTCTCTTGATCACTCATCGGAGCATCCCCCGACACCCCCTTCGGACCCTCCGAAGCCTCCTCAGCCGGCGCTGCTTTCTTCGCCTTCAACCCCGTATTCCCAACCCCAAGCGTCAATACCAGGCTCAGCCCAGAGCAAATGACATAATACACAAGAATATAATGCAACCCCTTCATATACGCCTCCAAAATCACGGTCTTCTCCGTGTCCGAAAACCCCTTTTGGTCTAAGGTATACGTCGACGAAGTAAGCTCCGCAATCACCGCATCGGAAACAAAGTCTTTCCCGTGGAGGTCCCGCCGCAGCGTGTTGGAGAGTATAACTCCTGAAATCACAAGCCCAAACGCGCCTCCAATGGTACGGATGAAATTCCGCAACCCCGTCGTGACGGCCCGATCTTCGGCGCGCGAGTTAGCATACATGCCCACCAGCGTAGGCTGCAGCGTCAAGCCTATCCCCGCGCCCATGACCACGAGGATCGGAATCAGCTTTCCTAGGCCTGTATCGCGGTCAAAGAGGATAGTGAGCCCGTTCCCCAACGTCCAGAGGAAGAAGCCTGCGAGGATGCAGGGCATGTACCGTCCCACTCGCAGCATGTACTGCCCAGACAGTATAGACAGCCCCGAAGTCGTGATGATGACGGGGAGGATGAGCGCTCCCGATACAAGGGGCTCATAGTTCAGTATAGACTGGAAGTAAATCGGCAGGTAAAACAAGTTACCAAAGTACGCCTGGCCCATGAGAAACGTCTGCCCGAATAACGCGCTGCAGTGCGGCGCCTGGTACAAGCGCAAAGGCATGATAGGTAGCTTCGCCAGCTTCCACTCGTAGAGCACAAACAGAACCGCAAGCACAGCGCCCACAACAACGCCGGCGATGACAAAGGGTGAGGACCAAGGGTACGTCACGCCGCCCCCGGACAGCGGGATAAGAAGGAGCAGCGTCGAAGCCATGTTGAGCGCGATGCCGCCATAGTCAATCTTCTTGACCTTTTCGCTGTAGTTTCCGGGTCGGTGCTTCAGCGGAAGGCAGAAGAGGATTGTGATGGCGGCTGGGGCGCTGATGATGGGGACCATCCAGAAGACCCATCGCCAGGTCGACTCCTGAACGACTGCGCCGCCTACAAAGGGCCCAACGCCGTTTGCGAGGGCGAGGACGGCACCGAGAACGCCTGAGCTGAGTGTTAGTTAGCGAAAAGATGTTGGCTGAAGAGCTTGAACTCACCTTGATACTTCCCCCGATTCTCCAACGTCGTGATATCACTCACAATAATCATAACAATACTGTTAATCCCACCCCCTCCAATCCCAGCCACCGCCCGAAACGCAAAAAGCTGCTCCTTCGTCCTCGAAAACCCACACAACACATCCCCAACAGCCATCAGCACCAAACAAATCATCAGCAGATTCTTCCGGCCAAAGATATCCGACAACCGACCATTGATAAGCTGAAACGCCGTCGAGGCAATCAGAAACGACGTCCCGATCCACGAGGTGGCCGTTCCCGTGTCGAGATCCTCCGCGATGGCGGGGACGGCGGTCGAGACGCTGGTCTGGTCGATGAAGGAGACGAAGAGGCAGACGGAGAGGGCGGAGAAGGCGAGGAGCATGCGTTTGCGGGACATTGTGTTGCGTTGGCCGCCTATGCTTTCTGCGTCGGTGTCGTCTTTTGTCTGAGGGTGTCCGGCCGAAGCTGCTTGGTTGTTGACATCTTCGTTGCTGGAGGGTGAAGGCGAGCGTAGGATCTGCTGTGATGGTTGCGTTTGTGAGATTTGCTTGGCTTCGGTGATGGGTGCATCTTCCTTCATCTTGATAACCTCAACCTTGATCTCTAGGTTGTGAAATCCCTAAGGAAAGGTCTTGGCTCAGAAAGCAGCCCAAGAAACGTCGACGAAGTCGCAACTCTAGATGGATCTCCCAAACTTCGGTGCCGAATCGCCGGTTCTCACTTCCCCGGGAGGATCTGGGGTTAGCATCGGACGCACCCGACGGTAATGACTTGCCTGCCGGGAGTCCATTGCGTCAATCGCGATTGAACCATTCACCAGAAATCCTCAACGAGTCTCCCATTCTGGCTCAAACGTGGTCGATCCACTCTGGATATGTCGGCACAGAGACAGCGCGAGGATTGGGTGGCCGTCGTCGCCGATCGCACGTCCGACTTTCTTTGTCGGCACGTTTTGTGCCGATACGCATCCGCAATGTCGGCTGTGTTCTGTTTCTGAAAGGCCTTCCAGTCTTCTAGACCCGGGATGTCCTCTGGGTTTGCGGCGGGCTTATGTGGGCCATCTTCAGACTGCTGTCTGTCAAATTAAACCCTTCGTGTCGGTGTCGATGAAGATTCAACTCTGCTGGAGGCAGTTGAAGATGATTATGATGATTGCGATGGGCGAGCAAGGCGCGGAAGCCCACTCGGCTTTCATCGGCATGGATGTCAGAGAGAATGGACTGGGATCAGTTGCGCTAGCGAAAGTGTCGATGACGGGATACTGCAACGTCTTTTAATTTTGACTCTGCCATCGCATCTACCTTATTTTGACCTGTCATGATAGCTTCAGAACTTAAACTGCATCTAGTTGATTTCATCTACATCAGCTAGTCATGTCAAAACTATTCACTCCGTTGGCTATAGGGCCTATCCAGCTCTCAAACAGACTCGCTCTGGCGCCATTGACAAGGTACCGCGCAGACGATGAATGGACACCAACTCCAATGATGGAGGGTCAGCATACAATCCCGTCGTCTCTCAACTCGTTCACTGTCTGACGTTTGAGGACAGAGTATTACGCCCAGAGAGGCTGCGTACCGGGGACTCTGCTCATCTCCGAGGGTACCCTGATCTCGTACCGCACCGCTGGGCGTCACAACGTCCCTGGCATCTGGAATGAAGCGCACATTGCAGGCTGGAAGAAGGTCACGGATGCCGTGCACGCCAAGGGCTCGTTCATCTACTGCCAACTCTGGCACCTCGGTCGCGGTGGCCGAGCTGAAGTCCTCGAATCCCTCGGGCTACATCTCGAGTCCTCAAGTGCGATACCCGTAGCCGAGGGCGCTGCGACCCCTGTAGAAATGAGCGAGAGCGACATACAGCAAGTCATCGAGGACTACGCGATAGCCGCGCGCAACGCCCTCGAAGCCGGCTTCGACGGGGTGGAGATCCACGGCGCCAATGGATATCTGCCCGACCAGTTCCTCCAGGATACCTGCAACAAGCGAACCGACGGCTGGGGCGGCAGCATCGAGAGGCGCGCGCAGTTCCATCTCGAAGTGACAAAGGCTGTTGTCAATGCCGTCGGCGCCGAGAGGACGGCCATTCGTCTCAGCCCATACAGTGATTTCCAGGGCATGCTCATGGACGACCCGGATCCGACCTTTGAATACTTGGTCAAGCAACTGAAACCCTTGGGGCTCGCGTATCTCCATCTCATTGAAGCCCGGATCAGCGGTAATGATGACACCGATTGCGGTGGGCAGCGGACAGTGCGCTGGTTGATTGAGCTCTGGGACAACGCGAGCCCAGTCTTGCTTGCTGGTGGGCTGAATGCCAACTCTGCAAAGGTAGCTGTGGACGAAACGTATAACAAGTACGAGGTTGCTGTCGTCTTTGGGCGGTACTTTATCTCGAACCCCGACCTTGTCTTCCGCATCAAGGAGGGTATCGAGCTGGACAAGTATGAGCGGACGTACTTCTATACCCCAAAGCTGCCAACTGGATACATCGACTATCCTTTCTGCCCTCAATTCCAGTCAAGTGCCAGGAGTTGATGCTGCATCGTGACTTCGGATAGACACGGCGGGATGGAAGGAAATATGAACCGGGTATCTTTGCCTAGATATGAACAAATGCGAAAGTTTTGTATGAATTACATTACGCCATTATTCAGAGCTGTCGTATCTCGTCCGCGTCAATCGTACACAGTGTAGACGTTCTCCAGTGGTGTCTGCGTAAGGACCTCAGCCACGCATGACTAGATCTGGCATGTGACACCACTCCGGATCTTCATCTTTGCTCATTCTTCGTTTACAGTCCCAAGTCGATGCTGTGAACCAAACCTGTTCTTCGTCCGCAGTAGAAGACTCTTACTAGACCGGCTCTTCAAGCCATCGTCATCACTACTCCCCGAACCGTCGCTTCTGGTCGATCGAAGTTCAAAGGAGCTGGCTACTCTCCTAATCTTGTCTTTCAGCATGCGCAACGAGCCTCGCTTCTTGAGCGCGACAGGCTGCGGTGCTGTATCAACGACAGAGAGGGCGTTGCCAAGCGACTGACTTCGAGCGTGGCCGGAGTGGTGAGCCGTGGCTATCGGATCCAGCTCCAGGGGTTTTGACGACAGGACAGACACTGACGCTGCGCGACGAACATGCTTTTTGGGGTAGAACATGCTCAAGCTTGATTTGGATCTTTGCGGCTGAGCTGATAATGACGAGACTGTGGTTATCGTGCCCAAGTTGGCATGAGTGATGGCGGGGTTCGTCCGCTGTTGCGCAGCTTGCAGGAAAAGGTTGGGCTGGCTTTTCGTCTGCTGAGCAGCCAGCCTCTGAGACGGAACCGAAGCTTTTCCGAGAGTGTTCCTGGCTATTGGACCTCCATGCATAGTTCTACGGCTACCAGATGTTGATAATCCATTTGTGTTCGCTGTCGGTGTCGACTTCGTGCGGGTGTGTGTCCGTTGCCGTTCGGAGCCTGTCGAAAGTTTGAACTCTCGTTGCGGAGGTAGCGGCTCCTCACCGATTTCGACCGCGGCAGGTGTGTCATCGATCTCGAATCGTCTCCCGGGGCGCCGTTTGGCCCGTAATTTCTTGAGATACTCCTCCGATGTCACTTCGCGGAAATTCATCTCAGCTGCGGCTCGTTCGGCTCGTCGTTTTGCCTGCCTGTGGAGGTGGGCGGCTTCTTCTGAAGACAAAGCCATCGTGGAGGTTGGACAGCAAGGACCTCAATATGGAGGTTATGTACGTCGAGTTGGGTCGTGGGCTTCGCAAGCTCCGACTAGGGGTACGTCGAGGATGTGTTGTAGGGTATCATGGACTCGTGTTCGACTTTCTTTGTTCTGTTCAGATTTCGGTTTCCAAAAGAGCGTTCTTTGTTTTTTGTGTCTCCAATCGTCTCGGCCCTGTTAAACGGCCGTCTTCTGGTGCGTGGAAGATATCACCATCATTTACTCGAGGCTGGGCGCATTCCAGAGGTGAAGAAGTTCGAGTGGATCTGGAGTGGAATGTCTCGCTTCGAGGCACGCAGAACTGGCGGGGGGGTGGTCGGTCACGGTAAGAACGCTACAGGAAGGGTGAGAAGTAGAGCTTTTCAAGGTCTGAAACTCTAGTCGTAATCGCCGTCTCTATTCGTCTAGGAATCGTACGAAGAGGGTTCGCTTCTCGCTGCGTCGGGAATGCGCAGCCTCCTGAAAGGAAATTTACCTGCGACGCCGTGGTGCTGGGGTCTTCTCCGTAAGCCTCCGAGCGAGCCGCGCCGGTAAATCCTTAAAAAAGAGGTGGTGCCCTGCAGGTCAGAGAAGGAAATTGCAATGTGCCATGTCGATGCAGCGAGGCATGCAAACGTTTGGATTTCAAACAGGTGCTGCGAATTTCTGCGAAGATCTGTTTGCGTGTGTTTGGAGCTGTGTCCGGGGCAACGTCGAGGAAGTCGATGGTTGAAGATGGGATGGCCCCGGCAGAAAGGAGGAGCTTGGGGCAGGTTGGCGATCACCGGTTGGTGATGGTGGCACGGGTGGGTACTTTGTGGATTACACCGCTTACATCCATATCTGCCTTATCTTTGCATATCGGGCACTGGCATACTCCCCGACACAACGATACCAGCCTTTTACTCGATGCTTCACCAACACCAACGACATCGCCAACAAGATGATAGGGGTGACCGAGATATAAGTATTCATCGCGTCTCTCCTTGAATATCCTTCCTGCATATTCTGCGATACAAAAGCCTCAGCCATTGGAGGACCTCCAATGAGAGCAGACAAGTCACTCAAGGTACTGGTACAGACAGGTCTTTGTAATGTTTTCCAATTTGTTTGGCATGCCTTTCTATATGTGCCAGTATCTGGTCATTATGCATAAAATTACAGTGTCATCAAATCATTCCTCAGAGACCTTGGCTCGGGATTCCTTTACAACTTGGCCGCATCCTTGGGGTTCTTGATCTCGACAATCAGCTTGCCCGTATTGATGCCCTTGTACAGGTCGACGAGACCCTGCTCCGCCGCCTTGAGACCGCCCTTGACGACCGTCTCCTTGCGCTTGATCTTGCCCTCCTCAAGCCACTGCGCGAGCTCCTTGCGCGCCTGGCCGTACTCCTGCACAAAGTCGAAGACGATGAAGCCCTGCATCTTGATGCGCATGGTGATGATGTTGGCGTAGTTCTTGGGGCCCTGCGGCGTCGCAGAGTTGTACTGGCTGATACCGCCGCACATGACGAAGCGCGAAAACTCCTTGGCACGCGCCAGCGCCATGTCGAGGATCTCGCCGCCGACGTTGTCGAAGTAGACGTTGATGAAGTCGGGCGTGGCCTCCTTGAACTTTTGCTTGAACTCGGGGTCCTTGTAGTTGAGCGCGACGTCGAAGCCGAGTTCCTCCGTCAACCACTTGCACTTATCGTCTGAGCCGGCGAGACCTACGACGCGCGCGCCCTTGAGCTTGGCGATCTGGCCGGCGACGCTGCCGGTGGCACCCGCGGCGCCTGAGACGACGACGGTTTCGCCGGGCTTGGGGTCGCCGACGCGGAGCATGCCGAAGTAGGCCGTCAGGGCGGTCATGCCGATGCCGGAGAGGTAGTCGATGGGCTGGGAGACGGCGGGGAAGGAGGAGACGGGCTCGACGCGGCTGTCGTGGACGACGCTGTACTCGGCCCAGCCGCCGAAGGAGGGGAGGACGTCGCCCTCCTTGGCCTTGGAGGACTTGGAGGCGAGGACGCGGCCGACGGTGGCGCCGCGCATGACTTCGCCGATTTGGACGGGAGGGAGGTAGGAGCGGCGGTCTAGATGGGGGATCTGATTAGTACTTGTCCCCGCGAAGATGAGGATGGTAGAGAGCAAAGGTCTCGACATACCGTTCAACCAGCCACGCATGGCGGGGTCAAGGGAGAGGTACCAGTTCTCAATGAGGATCTCGCCATCCTTGAGGTCCTCAGCCTTGGGGATAGGCTTCTGCTCAGTCTTGAAGGTCTTGCCGGGGATGATCTCGGCCGTGGGACGCTCGGCCAGCACGACGGAAAGGTTTTGCTGTGACATTTTGGATGTGATGTTGTGTGGAAAGAGGAAAGGGTATCAAGGAGGACGAATGGTATGTATTTGAGATTATAAGCAAACAACCACAGAATACGAGACAACTGATTCACAGAGCCTTTCCAAGTCGAGAGTAGAGGAGCAGAGGGAGCTCTTTTAGTAGTCGGGGACACCCAGCCTATTTCGCAAACTCTGAAATCGCCCGTTTGCTTTCGTGTCCCACGTTTCCTCCGCCGCTTTCGCGGATTACACTTACCCCTCCAAGCTTCATGGCCGCGGTCAAGCGTGCGGTGCCAGCGGTGGACGCTTGGTGCGTGAGTCGCTTGCACCGAGTTTTTGCCTTTGGCTCATGTCATGACTTCATGCCCCGCGCCGGAGCAGGATGACCAAGACGGGACATTGGCCCGCACGAGCTCCGAAGGACTCGACGAGCTGGCGAACGATCGAGGAATGTTCTCCGGCGCACGGAGCATGGGCTAGTAGGGATGGGGCCTGGAGGCTCTTTTTTTTTTTTTTTTTTTGTCTTTCACTTTGCTGTGTGTCTGTCCCCTTTCTCGAACAGAGTAAACGCACCACACGGTGATACGGTACCACGGTACCGCGGGCACACAGATTGTCTACCTAGCAGACTTTCGGATGGAGAGTGGTGGATGGATAACCCAAGATGGGTGTGTGGGTGTGGCGTGTGGCCGATTTCCCCGGAGTGGCCGCCCGAACAACAAATGGAGTCGGAGGGTCTTTTTTCACCGGACGTTTTCTTCATATGGGTTAAGGAGGGGCTGGTGGACTGCGGGCAACGCGCGACCCTAGCTAGGCTGCTTCTGCTCCGAGGGGCAGGGTCGCGAGGTCGATGCTCGATATGAAGGTGGCAGGCCGCAGACTCTCTCGCTCCAGGAGTTCAGGAAGATATCCGTACCAAAAGACGGCGGATTACCTACTGCGTCTGCAATGTCTGCATCTGCGTCCGCGTCCGCGTCTGCGTCTGCGTCTCGTTCCCGTGGTGGGGCTGGATACAACTGGGCATGACGACATGCCGAGGCTTGAGACAATGGCACCTCAGCTTGTCATCTCTTGCTCAGCTCTCTGCATTCGGCCTATCACGACTCTCGGCCTGTCGGAGGCTCTGAAGACATGGCGGGACATTATCTCCCTTGAACTCTGGAGCCGTGGACAACACGCAGGCGTTGTCATCAGCCCCTCGCCCATCGCTCGGTAGTGCAACTGACAGCTCTCAGGGTCCCCCGGAAGCGAAGCTGCAATGCTTGCGATTGTGGCCGATGCGACCATGCGGGAACGGGGACGTCGGGAACGGAGATGTGCTGGGGTGCTGGCCGTTGACCGTTCCATTGATGATCCCAAAAGGAGGGTCGCGGGGTGGGTTGAGTGTTCGAGAAGCGGGTTTGGGGCGGGCCAAGGATGTGCAATGCCGTCCGGGCTTAGAAATGCTGAAACTCAAAAGGTCCAGAGATAATCGGGATTGTCATCCACCTCGTGTCGGGGCTGTCGGGGTTGAATCCTCGTTCCTGAATTCTCGCAGCTATCTGTATTCGTAATACTCCGTACGTGCAGATACTGGCATGGCTGCTGAGCTGTCTGTTTGGCTGGCACCGGATGTGCTACTAATCATCGCCAATTGAAAAAGGCGCTGCGAGTGCGAGATGGATGGAACATGGTGAGGTTGGGTGAACCCCGATTGGACGCCATCGCCGTCGTCCAAGGCAGCTTGGAAATGGGAGTGGGCGAGCCGAGGCAATTCGTAAATGGGAGTGGGCGAGCCGAGGCAATTCGTGTGTTTGCTTTTGGGCTCACGGCGGTCGATTAAGCTCGGTTCCCGTCCGACCGCCCGCGGCGAATAATCCTAATGCAGTTCGGATCGCCCAATCAGGCTGATGTGTCAGCGCCCCGCCTGAACCTCGGGACCCACCAATTCTCTCACCGAAGTTTACCGAGGAGGTTCCAGCATCGCAACCTTGATGGCTCGGTCACTCTCGGTGAGCCTCGGTCTGGCATAACGATCAGGGATATTGCATCGTGTCTTTTCTACCTAGATTGGAATCATTGCATTGAGTTGAGCGCATGCTTGCTCGAGACTTCAGTGCTAAGAGAACCTTTAGTTTATAGAAAGATTTATACCCTTCTCTTTGAAGCCCTTAGTGAGAAAATCCAGATCCTTCTCATTAATACTGGGCCATTCACTCATCAAACTCTGCTTCTCTTCAAAGGTGTCAAGTTGATCCAAAATCGGATTTGTGCAGCTCAAACAAATCTCGCGGAGTTTTCCCATACATGTCGCCTCGAGGAGCCTCATCAAGCAAGGTGTGAGGTACCTATTTGCCCCCGAGATCTTGAGCTTCTTCAAGCTGGGAGGTAGCATATTCAGTAACAGGTACCCGTTCTCATCGGGGACCATGCACTCTGGGGGCCCAAGTATCACATCTTGGCAGAGATGGACCTCTTCAAGAATTTCGAAAAGCCGAAGCGATTCGATCACGTTCCTTCTAACAAGCTCATCCTGCATAAACTCATGACGATTGCGGTAGTACACATTTGCCGGTGCGTACTGACCCTCCCACCCAAACCATGGTCCAATTCCTAATTGCTTCAAAGTTTTGGATATCTTTCTGCCGAGTCTGTCGACGATTTCACTAGGGGTGATCTCGGATTCGAGGTTGCAGTCGTTCCAGCTCATCTCACGGATGATACTACCGTCGGGAGACTCGCCCCGGCCGAAGATGAAGACCTCCAACAATCTGCAGTGCTTCAGCAAGAGGCTGAACCAAGTTCTGGAGATGTACCGGCAGTTTGTCAGTTTTAGGTACCTGAGATGAGCCAAGGCTGAGTAACCGTGACGCGGCACAGGTGTACTATGGAACTGGAGTCGTGTGATACCGTGAATATGCAGACTAGTGAGATTCGGAAGCTTGTCAATCAGTTGGGTACCACCCCAAGCGAGAGTGTGGTAAACTGATACCTCTTGGCCATCTGGGGGGCGAGTGCAGAGAAATCGTAGACTCTTGACCGAATTATGGACTTCCCAGCGTTGGAAATCGGGGATTGGAAGATCATTTCCCAAAGACCAGGCGGACCCGTCCACGATAATGTCGAGCTTCTCGAGGTTTGGTAACGATGCTAGTGTTCTCGGAATCGATTGGTGTAAGTCTTTGGGGCAGCTACAGGGGCGTGTCCCCGCATGAAACCAGGTACAGCGGAGAGAGATATTGGCTTCAACATATCGAATGTCGGCCAAGGAACCTCCCCTGTTAATCAGCTGATTTATTCGCTTATGAATCACGAAGCCATGATTCGAGGAATCCAGGGGCCGTTTGTGGTATAAGCTGAAAGTATGTCGCAAATGCGGTGCGGCAAGGTATCGAAATCGTTTGCATGTTAAGCTCAAGTTCTCGAGGGCATCACGCCCGGCCACTGTGGGCTCGCAGCCGTGATCACAGTATTGACAAGACTGGCATAGTGCGTAGATGATGAGTTCCGCAATCTCAGGTGGTAGTTTGGAGAGAGCTTGTGTTGGAATTCTATTGACTGAGCCTGAATCTCTCAAGTCGTATGAATCTTGTGTGATTGGGTTCATCTTGACGGAATGTGACTGGTGTTGATGAGATTTTGTATCAGGAATCCCAAGGTACTGTATCAATCCCACTACTTCAGCTTTGGCGGCTTCAGAATGTTTGAGGAAATAATGGGGTTGACTTATCAAGAGTAAAGTGTTTTCCTCGATTTGATAGGAGATACTGTGATTTTAGATCACGGTGGAAGGTTGGTGTCGTATCAATTTCAGGGAAGTCATGCGCGCCAAAGCTATCTCCGGAGCAAGAAGTAAAACTTAGTCCTCGAGGCTATTTTTGTTCGGGTCATCAAAAGGTATGCATAGTCAAAAGGGTCATACATGGGCACACGTAGCCGAAATCTTACTCCGTCATACCCAGGGGAATACTCGCAATGTGTGACTCAGCTTTGCGCCGTGAGCGGCCGATCCCGTCCCTCAAAGTGCCACAAGTCGAGGATTTGCAGCTATGAAATGGGTTGAAATTGCCTGTAACTGGCCGTTTGATTCCTTGCCTGCTATCGGTCCTATTCCTCCCATTCCTCTAATTCACGTCGCGGTGTTTTCCTTCCACTTTATTTGTTACATAGGCTGCAAGAGATAGAAAATGAAACACTTGAGATATGAAGGCTTCGCCGTCATGTCGAGCTCCGACAACCGAGATGTTGCCATGCTGCTTGTTCGTCGCGACCGTTACTTCGTAGTCTGCAGGCATGACTGCTCTCCGGGGCCTGTCTAGTCCTTGGGAAGGAGAGGTCTTACTCAATGAGAACTTCCGACCCAAAATACGTGTATCAAGTCCAGTGTTAGCCCGAGTGTACGCCAGTCGAAATCACTTCTGGCGGGAGTTTGAGGGGAAACTCGGGAGGAATCGTGGCTATTGTCGCCGGCAGAAGCCTAGATAGCAAGCCGCGTCCGCCGAGAAAAATAGCACTGCCAAACAGAGCGACAGCGCCTGCTTCCCATCTCCGTGCGTTTGATGGATGGAACCTCCGCAAACTGAGCACTTACTTCAGTCTGTCCTTATCACTCATCGCAAATCAATCATTTTGATCGCCCTTCAAACTTCAGCAAACAAAGACACTATTAGGTTTTGTTTTCCTTCCGCATTCGCATATTGGCGAACCCATAGCACAATTTCATAGGGTATTTATAACAAGACCCGTCCCGACGTTGTCTATGTAGTAGAGTAAGAATACCGAGTACGTAAGGGCATTTTAATTAATTCGTAATAGTATAAGCTAAAATCGGAATTATTATAAGATCCTAAAATACTTCTTAAACGCCCCTTATTTCTACTTATTTCTATTATTATTACTATTACTATTTTTACTAACAAAGCTGTAAATATTAATATTAACGCTTTAGTCATTATTATCATTAATATTACTACTATTCCTACCTTTATCCTCTCTCCTATTCTTTCTCCTATCCTCTCCTCTGTCCTCTCCTCTGTCCTGTCCTCTGTTCTCTCTTTCCTATCCTCTCCTCTGTCCTCTCCTCTGTCCTGTCCTCTGTTCTCTCTTCTATCCTCTCCTCTGTCCTCTCTGTCCTCTTCTCTGTTCTCTCTATACTCATCTTATTCGGTGTCGAATAAGC